GTGGGAGGGTACATACTAATACAAACAGGATTTTTTTTATAAGATTAGGAGGGATGGAATTATAGGTGGGTAGGTGGGAGGGTATTTACTAATCCAAATAGGAGAAAAACATATAAGAATAGGTGAGATAGAAATACAGGTGGACAGGTGGAAGGGCATATTTTAGTATAGATAGGGGAAAGCTACTTGCTTTCATGCATTACCTTTTGGTAAACTGCAATGATTGCACAGCAATATAAACCTCAAGAGAGAAGCCATAGTACTGGAAATCTATGTTGTTTCTATAAGATAGATTTACTTTACAAAGGCTACATTTATCCTAGTTATTTATTTTCAGGAAATAGTAAGTAGTATTGGGATACTGATTTGGAAATCTAAGATGTAGAATAAAGATGTAGAATAGGTCTAATAATGGAAGTCATGTTCTAATATAATATTATTTACTTTTCTCACTGCTTGCTCCTTTACTCATTCATTGCAAATACACGTCAATATAAAGGCATCGAGCAAATTCACTTCAGGTATATATATATAAAAAGCCTGCGTGTCGTATCACCTAATAGAATCCCTTTGGCCCTCTAGATATCTTTGATCCTAACATACGGCTATGTCAGCGGATATGTTGAACAGGGGCGGAGAGGAGAGCGAGATTACCAGTAATAAAGCCCATCCCTTTGATGCGGAAGGAGCCTCTAGTGTGTCCGAGAACCCGCGAAGGGCCTACCCCTCACATGCTAAACCGAGAGGAGTCTAGACGTCCATGGTACAAGTAATACCAGTAGTAGCTCCGTGACCCTCTCATCCCTGCCTTTAACACCCGATGCTGGTGATGCTCTGCTGTGATAGTCCTGTCTGTTGGGAAGGTATCTTTTGTCCTTAACCAGATTCACTGCTCTCTCCATCCCACGAGAGAGGTTTTTTGTCTTAAGGGTTTCTGATTGTTAGCGTTGGCTAGCAGCTTTCCCGTTTGTAGATTTATCACTCCTAGACTTTTTTTTCCTACTCATGGCTTCTGCTATGAGGATTGATGAATCATCGGCTAGGGAATATTTTAGCCACTTCACCTTGCCTACCCCTTTAGACTGTGGGCGTGTTTCTCGACTAGGTCTCTTGTTTGGCCTGTCGGGGTCGCTATGCTTCAGCCCTAGTCGCGGATTTGCTCTTTTTTATGTCTCATATTGCGGTCCATAGGAATAGCGTCACGTCCCTGCTCTCTCTCTGATTCGGGTCCTCTCATTTTCATCTCCGTTACCTGTAGGATGAATACAAATTTGAGGATTTCAAAACGTGATATAGAGCGCGACGCAGCAAACCGTTTGTCGTGGGGAGCAGAGTGGGTCGAGAACCAAATGCTGACTGTCTTCGCAGGTAACACAGGTATTACCTGATCATCGTGTTCGTCAGGGAATTCCGGTCTAACAGGACGTTACCCCCCAATGCTCGAGTATAATGAGGTATCATATGTTTGAGGGGGTGTGCTTTGGGAGTGCTCTGAAGGCGACTGACCGAAATACCTTTCATGCACTGAAGGTCCATGCAGACCAGGAATGTTCCCGGAATCTTTGTGATAATTCTATCAAGAATATCGAAACGGGTGTGAGGATATCCTACAAGGGTAAAATTAATTAAACGGAGGGTTGAGCCCACCCACGGCGGCAAGGAGCTGAGGAGATGTTAGGTTATCACAGCACGAGTCCGAGCCCCTGGAGCGGACGAGACGGGCTATGGATGAGAGTCTGTAAAAATAAAAATTCTTTAAATTTGATGTCCAGATTAATTCTGGGGGTTCAATATAATTTATTTATCCTTGTATCGGGGACGGACAGGGCGCTACAGTCTCGGAGTCCTGTAACATCCTGCGAACATTGCCGATTCGTCACCTCTCCCGCTGCACCCCCTCCGTCCTATATACCACACGATTAAGGTATTCCTCTCACGTTAGCATGCCACTTCATGTGCATTCTAATTGCAACCCTATTGAGTTTGGTCTCCACATACCTTACTTATCCGAATAAACATTTCCCCATCCCATGGAATTCGGGGACCCAGTTACTGCTCCAATTGCCCAGCAGTATTTCCTTTGACTGTGGAATGCGACCAAAGTTGGCATTGGCTAGGGCGGCGGGATGAATCCGAGGTTTATCCCTATGGTGTGCTCACGATCTAAGCTTCAAGGCTTTGTACATTAGAACGTTCATTCCGCTTGTTTGATCGGTTCTCAGGGTTGGTCTGGGCAGTCACAGAACATTACTCATGCGGCCCCCCGCCAGTCGTTTCCCCACTATCCCTCCAGCTCTTCGCCGCCATGGCCATTCCTTGCTACAGCTGGCAGTTCTACTCCTCCTCCTAATCGCCACTATCCCATCCTGTAGGAACCGTGGCCAAACCAAACCCGGCCGTCCTAAGATCCCTTGGTGCTAGAATTGTTGAGAGAGCTTGCTCCCCGAGCCCTTATTAGCTAGGAGCGTAGTTGGGGGTTTCTATAATATTACTTAGGAGAACTAGCTAATTTTTTTGCCCAGATAGCTGAAAGTATTATTACTCGCTAACTTTTATGTCCAAGTAATTTTGTTCCCCCTCCCCCCCGCCTTACTTGAATCATAACTCTGGAGGGGGAAGGGAGAAGAAGAGAGAAGCTATCTATACAAGCAAAAAGCCAGCCAGCCAGCTCAAGGACGCATTCGCGGTCGCTCAATTATTGCCTTACTCCAGTATGAGCTTAGACTCCACCCCCAAACGCAATGCTTCCCAAACTTCCACAAACAACCTATCTCTAGACACTATCATCAGAGTAGCTCTCGGGATCATAGTCCTCTATCCTTTTCAACCGTTCGACCCAGATAGCACAAAGCCGTTCCCCACCGCGACCGCCAAAGCGGCAAGCAAATTCCCAATCTTGCTGTAGATCACGTGAGTACGCGAAACCCCATATTAGCACCATGGGAAGAAATTAACAATAATGGTGGCATGGGGGGTGGGAAACAACTAACCTCCAGCTTGGCCAAGAGATATCCAAGCCGAACTTCCATCAAGTTCAACAGATGATCGCTGTTCAAAGCATCTGCGCACCCCTCTATAGCAGCTCGAACAAAGTCTTTTGCAATCTTCCGTGCAAGACCTTCAAGTACGTTATATGGCCCCCGCCACTTTAGCCGGAAAACGCTGTAGAGTGTTTTCTCAATCTTGGTGAAAAAGTACTAGTTAGAGTTATCAGCAATAGTACAGCAAAGAGGGATGCGAGAGTCAAGGGTTGGTAATGCATACAGATGCCATACGCTCGATACCCCTTGGGCCGAAGCAAGATACTGTTGACTGAATTAATGGCTTTGAATACTGCAATGCTGGGATCGCAGTAGTGGAGCGGTCAAGCATTTTGCCCCCATGGGGAAGATCGGTAAGGATCAGGGTGGGGACTTTAGGAAGCCTTGGATTGAGGCGTACCGGAGGAGAACGGTTGAATTGTGGCGGGGTATATAACAGTGCAGATGCTGAGAGTGATTCAGGGGCTTGTATGGCAGCTCCGAGAGGTGCTTTGGTCAAAAATTTGGCAAGTTCAGGGTATGGGGAGATGTGGCACGGCATGGTGGGCGGAGGATCGATGTGTGTGTGTTCCTTTCTTCTTTTTTCAAGGGGAGAGTTTCTTCTATCAGGGGACAGGGGAGGCAGGCAGGAGTATGACATGAGAAGAAGGAAATCTTGTGTAGGGGCTTGCTATAAGTAGGGCATAAAAGTGCCGTTGCCGTTTCTATGACAGCCAAGATTCACAGGGCTCTGAAGGAGCAATGAGAAAAGGGGATCGGGGTTTAGGGCCTAGAACATGCATTCGGATCCAGGGTATATGATATATCGTATGATAGCAGTTCTGTCAGTGAACTCCCCAGACGTTTGTAGGTAAGTTCGAGGGACCGGTTCCTTAGGCCCTAACTATGTCGTAAGGGTTCTACACGTAAGCTTTATAGATCTAAACTGTAGGTTAGTGTAGGGGGTCTATTCCAATGACCAAGCACTCCTTGAAATCAGATAGTAGTGCGAGGTATCATACCTTATGAGTATCATACTTGTTACCCCAATCGGGAGTTCCGCACATTTTACGTTCGTGATGAATCATAGCGCCTCACTCGCATAATTGTTCTTATCTTGTCCTGCATTTATTTTGGTAGCACCACACCATCCCAAGAGAAACGCAAGTTCGATCCAGCGATCCGAGTAGGTATACCGAATTCGCTCCTCTTTTCTGTCATAATCAAGCAAAACTCCTGCCAAGGAGAAGCTTGTGTTAACTATATTTACTGCACAAATCGATTAATCTAGGGGAAAGTGCCTAAAAATACTTAAACTCAGCTTCAATTGAGAACTTAGAGTACCGATGCAAGCATCATACCGTACCATATCCTCCTTATGCAAGACCAATCATTCGTGATCAAAGCGAAAAGTCAGGTTACACATCCTTCATATCGACTGTCCTAAGCCACCGCTGTGCTGTCCCTGTCCTACCTCATTGGCTGCTCCTCGCTTAGGTATTGTATTGCTCGATCCAAGCCTCACCACGAAAATCGCCCGGGTTTCTGCGGCAGATGGTGGTAAACGAGAAAAGGGTTCTTCTGGCCTTGGGTTAGATCCGGGCTCCGATTGAATCTGGTAGGGATTTCATAGAAAAAAATACCCTGGAAATCTCGGAATCTGAACTGAAGAGGGAGCTGCCATCGTGTTGTGATGAGGATCGGGGGTTGCCGCTATTGATCCGGATGTCAGAAAGCACTTGTATGATATCGGTGCTGTCGTTGCAACTTTCCCATTGGACTCCAGGGTCCAGATCTCCACAGCATCATGTGATATTGTGGAGGCTGGAAGGAAAGGAACTCACTCGAGCAAATTTTGGTAGGTGCGGAATGATACTGGGGGGGGGGGTGGGACTGGACCCGGGAGTACTTGAGTAGTCTGGGAAATGGCTCTGTGAATTACTATACCGGTATATTGGAGACACAGGTGGGAGTCTAAGGAGAAATAGAAACCTAATAATATAAATACTGCGTGAGGTGAGCGACTAGGCTATTACCGAATTGTCAATGCACTGCTCATCATCATAAACTATCTCGTCGATAATATCAAGTATAAACCTTCACAATCCCAAGACCTTCCAATATTTCACTTCCAAATGATCTCTGGTATTCTTCATCCGGTGGCACCAAACCAGCTTCCCATTCTCCCACATCCATTCTCCGCCGTTCTATATAGCAGTCCATATCAGATTATCACTCTTCAGAAAAATAATATGCCATATCATACCTGCTGGTAATCACCTCCTTTTCTGCCCCCCCATTTAAGAGCCGAAACAAAGCTGGTGGCTATACTGCTAATTACGCTCTGCTGAATGTACTCCGGTTTCTCTCCTAGCTTCAAATTCTTTATCATACCAAAGAGAGTGTATAAACCTCCAGTAGGCTCCGTATAGATAGGGAACACGCATCCGGTTTCTGCGGTGTAAGTCTTGATCACGGCAGGATCCCCCTGCCCAACAATAATCAATTTCTTCCCGGGGGTATCAGGGGGAATTATCGGCGGGTTTGATAGAGCTCGAAGGTAACTGTTCCCAAGTTATCAATACTGGAGATAACTCGACATGGAGGGAGGTATGGGATATCAACTCTTGGCAACTCCCACAGAAAAAGTGTCTGATAAACACAATCGCTACTGTCCCCTCGCCTTCATACAAACTCGAAAAGGGGTAGGAAGTTCCATCTTTGTCAAAGACCTGGAAAGCTGCTGCTTCGGCCAGTTCTGCGTCGGACGGATGCGGATCTGACTGTGGTGAACTCATCTGGACTGAGGACAAATGTGTTGCAGTTTGGTAAGGAAGGTGGGAGTCTACTATCGTTCAAAGTGCGGGGGAAGAATGGTTACTCGTACATGTGTTGGATTCGCGGTAACTACCGACCGGGTGACCGGGCGCTTGTTCGCAGAGTCGCATGTGTTGGATTCAATGTTGGGTCGTTGATCATGTCTATCATATGAATTATAGAGAAAAAGAAACCATAAGTTAAGGCGGGTACGATATAAATGCCCATATCGTGCCGTATGTTGGTCTTTCATTTCAAGAATAAATATACTCGAGTATGTTTTTGGAGCTCCCTCTCCATACTAGCACTTTGGGAATTGTTTTGCTTATACGGCACGATTTGATGGTCAGCTAACTTTGAGTGATGGGCCCCAAGTCCAATCAGACCAGGGAAGATGATCCTGCCGCTATTCCCTACCGACTGCAAGGGACATTCCCGCTGGGTTCTTGGAAAGGGGAGACAGGGCCCCCTTACGATAAGATGACTGGAATCTAGACAACTAGAGTTCCAGAACCGAGCAGGTAAGCAACATTTCTTAGGAGAGGAGAATCATTCTCTGCGTATGAGCAAGAACGGCAAGTACTTGGCACTCTTGACCAGGTATGGGTTTGAAATAGCTGCCGTAGATGATAACGATCCAGACCAGTCACTAACGGTTGGCTGCAGGATCTTCCAGGAAGCAGAGTATGAAGTATTGGGGCTAAAGAGAGCCAGCCAGCCGAACGAAGGCCTACCGTATGAACGCGCTCGAGAACCGCACAGCACCCTCCGGGGAGAAAATTTGGTGGTATGGAAAATACGTAGGGCAGTCAGGCACGCCAGGTAGGTAACTCTCAACACCTCGTTGAGCCTCCCTCCTTATTTTTCCGAAACAGCAGACGAAGGGTGCCATCACGAATACATTTTTATCCCCATTTCTGATTGCCCGTGTCTCTCTTGTTCAGCTACTCTAGGAGGTAAGCGTTCAATGCGCGGGGGAGGACCTAGTTGCATCTAGCATCTACTGTATAGCTTCTTCCTCCGCGGCTTTCTTCACATTCACGTCTATTTTCCCACACACACCCCCGTCCACTCCTTCCAATTCTCGACAAATCCCGCTCGTCAAACCTACTCACGAGTGGTGCGCCTAGGACATCTAAATACAAGGCTCTATTTCAGGGAAGTGTTGTCCTCTCTTCATCAGAGCGGATAATGTCGACTCCTTCGGACCTCCCTCTCCTGCGTCCAATTCCCCGTCGCCCACAAACAATCGAGACGGCTTCCCCATCCCCCTCTCCCAATGCTACTCCATCGCCCCTCCTATCTTCCCCAGATAATCTCGCATCACCGGCGGATAGCCTCTCTCCCACAGAATTCAGACCCCCAAAGCGCACCAAGTCTGCAATCGCCTTAACCTCGTCTACACTCTTCGGAATCTATTCCCTCTCTGACGATGCAAACAAGGACACTGAGCCCTCTACTCCTTTCCTATCTCGCAACTCGTCTGTCCTTGATATGGCCGACCTCGACATTAAGAAGGTAACTCCATCTCATGTGCCCGTGAAGCATACTCGGAAGGATCCAGTTCCGTGGTACGAGGTCGCTATGAGGGGCATGGCCCTATTCGCTTTCGGCGTTGCATACGGCGCTATTGTTACCGATTTGCACAATTCCAAGAAATTCTCCCCATCTACGGTAGATATCGATCGGTACAATCCGAGGTATCTCGTCCAGTGGGGATTGGCGGGTGTGGTGTTGGGTTCGTTGTTGCCGTGGTTAGATGGAAAGGATACGGGTAATGGGAGCATTGGAGCAAAAATTGATTGGGATCCTGCGGTCAGAAGTATCGGTGCTTTTGTCGGCATTGCCTATGCTATTGTATTTCTTCGCCCCCCCCTCTCTCTTGTCTTTTTTTGTGAAATATATGCTGATGATTTTATAGAGGAAGCTCCCTTGGCAATCAACCCTACAGGTTAGCGTATCGCTCTCGTTCGTGAACCCATTTTTGTGGTATCTCATTGATCGCACTCGCGTCGGCTTCTGGCTTTCTGCGGCTGTCGGAATTACTGGGACAGTTTTCCTTTTGCAAACCAATCCGGAGATGATCCAGACCCCGGAAACCATCTCTTTCCCGGACGAGAGCAAGATTGCGGGATCAGTTTCCGTTGAGAGCTTTGGCGTTACGGTTTGGATCGCAAGCGTTTTGTTTTGCAGCTGTGTTTGCTTTGGTAATGTTGGGAGGAGGTTTGCCTCTATGGAGAGGAATGGCTAATCGGGACGGGGTATGAATCATTGCGCAACAATGACTATTTGAAAGCGAGCAGCTGACGGTTGGGTGGAATGGGTGGATGGGGTAAATGTTTGGCGTATCTGAGTTTCTCATTGTAAATGGACTGTTTGACTTTCCTCCTGCACTAAATTACTACCTTTATCGCACCGGATCACTTGCGTTCATCGAATTAACTACCGGTGGGCGCAGACGCCTGAACAAGGTATTTCTATACAATCTAGAGACATCAAAGAGCACAAGGAAGACAAAAATATATTGATAGTAGCAATTCCTGCCCTACGTCATATTCCCAACAAAATCTTCTCTAGGTGAAAAATAAGGAAAGATACGGCTCCTGTTTTTTTTGTAGCTCTAGTAGCACGGAATAACTTGACAAGTGATATCTAAAGTTTAACTCCATCCACTCCTCCGAGAAAGAATAACCAGTTAATTCTTGGCAGGCCCAGGAACTGTGGTAGCAGCAGTGAGCGTGGATGCCTCTTTCGCCTTTTCCGCAAGTGATCTCTCACGACCACCGTAGCTGTTGATGTCAGTTGAATTTTTTCGGTCAAGGGGTATGAGAAACGAACTTCCAGTAATTGATATAACGATATCCCTGGGCCAATTGAGCACACTCGTTGACGAAATGGCAACCTGCAATAATTAGCGTGAATCCCCCAACATCAATCAAGAGCTCTTGCCAAAGAGGAGGTAATTCTTTGGCGTGACAGCCATGCTACAAACATATCAGTCAGTCTCACACCCAGGGAGGCAGACAGGAGGGGATCAAACGAGTAACGCATAAAGACAGCTGAGTAGACGACCAAAGCAGTGGTCATCTTTCCCGAGATACTAAACATTGTCAATTACCTCAAAAGCCTCATGCTAACAGATACGCATCTCACATCTCAGGGTCTTTACGAGTGATATCCAAGACAGCAGCGACCGGGATCCCAAAGTTTGAGACCGGACCCCAAAAGTCTAATCGATGGCAAACATTAGCATCGCCATCTGGCAGGATAGAAAGATGTATCGGGAGAGAAGAGACAGCGTACGGGTGGAGCAGAAGTAGCTAAGCGCAGGGTTGCTGCGAATCTTCGCGTTAAGGGCTGATATAGCTGCTGCCATGACAGAGTAAGTCGTTGTTCAGAGGGGTTATCTGGAAGGCAGGGTGTCGGAAGGGTGGCTGGCGGAAGTTGTTGCTTGTCTCGTGAGTTGCGAACGGAGCACCGGGATCTTTTGCAATGCGGCTGGCTGGCCATCGGACCCAAGTACAATCAATCACCCAACGTCACACCAACATCTCTAAGGATTTAGGGCATTTCCCAATTGAATTCTTGCTTAATTTTTCGCATGAACATACAGTATCATACCGATATCTCCTTTCCGACCTTATTTCCTTTTTCAAAAGGGTTTTGTGCATCGCCTTAGGACATTGTGTGCTTTAACGACAACATGACAGTCGGCGGAATAAGGAACATTGTACTTTTTTTTTCTCTTTTCTTTTTCATTCCTTCCTTTCCTGGCTTCATCATCCTTGTAACGATGGGCCAAGTGGGGGTGGTGGGGTGGGTTTTGTCTTGGCATAAACCCGTCAACCCGTTAAAATGGCGGGGCAGATTTTAACTGCAGAGGAGCAAACAAAAAACCTCATCCCCACTTCCCCCTGCCACTCAACAATAGATAAGTTAGTGAAAGGCCCGGCAAACAAAGTACTCTTTGGGCCCTTTTCCGCGTACCAATCCGGATGTACATAACATAATAATGTGTAATATTCATCCCTAAACTTTGTAATAGGGTGAAAAAGTGAACAAAAAAAGGAAAAAGTTAGTTCCGGGGAGAGAGGGGGGTGGAAACCTGGGAGGACTTCCCAGCCCTTCATCCCTATCCCCCCTCCCTCCAAGAGAGAGCCCGAAGCAATTGGGAATATGACGCCGAAACCTCACTTATCCGCCCAGTTCCGCATCTCTTAGGGCCATAAAATAAACCCCACCACCACCATCGTCGTCAGCCCCCTCCCCCCTCTCTCAATCACTTTTAATCTTTCCTCCCTCTTCCCACCCCTCTCTTCCGCTCTACATACTCCCTCATCTCCTCTCATCTCGTTCATTCAATCCCATTGAAGCACATAAGAAGGTGTCATGTCTGAGACTAAAGCAATGTGAGCTTAACTCCTCCGTTTGTTTCTACATTCCGGCAGCCTTATGATTTGGCTATTATGTCATATCCCTGGGCTATGGGAAACCCCTCACTCTTACCCCCGATAATGTCTTTCGTTTGTTCGGATTTTGAGTTGATGTTTGAATTTTTGCTGACATAGTGAGCGACTGTCCGCTATTGCTGGCGGCTTCGCATCTTCGACACCCAGCGCTGGTCAGTATTTACTCGAGCTTTGATTCCCACTTCACTTCTGTTTGTTCTAGATGTCGTAGCCTCTCTTATCCAGAATGGAGACATTATATCGTGCTAGACAGCCAGGATGGTGGCTTCGGGGGTTGGAACCGATGCTGATTCCATATCTCTAGATTTCGGCCTTATTGGTCTTGCTGTTATGGGTCAGGTATGTTTCACTTCTTGTTCCAGAGACTAAAATAGGAGTGAGGTTAATTATCCTATTTGCACCTAGAACTTGATCCTCAACATTGCAGACCATGGTATTCATCACCACCAATTTCTCTGCCACTACCTGTCCACTAACCTGATTAATAGGCTTTACTGTTGCTGCTTTCAATAGAACCGTATCGAAGGTCGACCACTTCTTGGAGAATGAGGCCAAGGGTAACTTTCCGCCCTCCATCGGGCTCTTCCGTTGTTAATGTTTTGTAGGAAAATCCATCGTTGGTGCTCACTCCATTCAGGACTTGTGCGACAAGTTGAAGAGTCCTCGTAGAATAATGTTGCTGGTTAAGGCTGGCCCTGCTGTCGACGACTTCATTGCTGCTCTCTTGCCCTTCCTTTCAGCCGGCGATATTATCATTGATGGTGGTAACTCTCACTTCCCCGACAGCAACCGCCGCGCCAAGTATCTCGCCGAGAAGCAGATCCGTTTCGTCGGTGCTGGTGTGTCCGGTGGTGAAGAGGGAGCCCGATATGGCCCTTCCATCATGCCTGGTGGTAATGAGGAGGCATGGCCATACATTAAGGATATTTTCCAAAGCATTTCCGCCAAGTCCGATGGCGAGCCATGCTGCGATTGGGTTGGTGACGAGGGAGCTGGCCACTTCGTTAAGATGGTTCACAACGGTATCGAGTATGGTGACATGCAGCTGATATGCGAGGTGGGCTTGCGTTGAGGCCAGAATAAACTCTAGAATTGGCACTAACATGTTTGCTCTAGGCTTACGATATCATGAAGCGTGGGCTCAGAATGACAAACTCTGAGATTGGTGATGTTTTCACCAACTGGAACACTGGCGTCCTTGATTCATTCCTCATCGAGATCACTCGCGATATCATGAAGTACAATGATCCTGCCGATGGGACTCCTCTCGTGGAGAAGATTCTCGACAGCGCCGGACAAAAGGGTACCGGAAAATGGACTGCTATCAATGCTCTTGACTTGGGCATGCCCGTCACTTTGATTGGTGAATCCGTTTTCGCCAGATGCCTCTCCTCTATCAAGGACGAGAGAGGCCGTGCTGCCCAGGTCCTCGAGGGCCCCGAAATCCCAGCTTTCACTGGTGACAGGGAAGCTGCCATAGCCGATCTCGAACAGGTTAGATACATATTGGAATCCAACCTTGTCCGGAACCGCCCTTGAAGAATTATTAAGGCTAATCGTTAGGCAATATAGGCGCTTTACGCTAGCAAGATCATCTCCTACGCCCAGGGCTTTATGCTTATTCGTGAGGTAACTTTGCTACCCTGCTACCCGCGCAGGAGGTCCTGATGCTGATTAGTGAAATCTAGGCTGCTAAAGAGTACAACTGGAAATTGAACAACCCTGCCATTGCTCTTATGTGGCGTGGTGGATGTATTATTCGCTCCGTCTTCCTTGCAGATATCACCAAGGCGTACCGTGCTAAGCCAGATCTCGAGAACCTGCTTTTTGATGACTTTTTCAAGGCAGCTATTCACCAGGCTCAGCCCGGTTGGAGGAGAGCCATCATCCGGGGGATCGAATTTGGAATCCCCACACCTTGCTTCTCTACTGCCCTGAGCTTCTACGACGGATATAGGACTAAGGATCTTCCCGCCAACCTCTTACAGGCACAGAGAGATTATTTCGGTGAGTCCAAGTGTGAATTAGTGTCTTGTTGAAGCACTCTAACATGACATCCCAGGCGCCCACACCTTCCGCGTCAAGCCCGAGCACCAGAGTGAGACCCTCCCTGAAGGAAAGGATATTCACATCAACTGGACCGGGAGGGGAGGAAACGTTAGTGCCTCGACTTATCTTGCTTAAATTAATGACCAAACAATTGAATTCGTCTTTTTTATTCCTATCCCTTTTCTCTGAAGTTGGCATTTCTTTTCATGGCGGGAAATTCTCTGATTCTTGTGAAACCTTTTATGCTACCTAACTTGTGGTTCTATCAAGTCTCGTGATGATTCTGAATGAAGTGGGGGGCGACATCGCCTTGATGTCGAAATTGAAAAACAAAAAAACGGAGAATCTGAATTTCACCACCGCGCAAGCATGCCCCTGGCGCCGCGACCGTGGGCAGCGGAGAGATAGATGAGATAAAAATAAAGAATTAAAAAATGCAATTTCCGGCCCGGCTACCTTCGCCCCAGGGTGTGTGAGGTTATTTGTTTACGAGAACCGTGCTCCGGCAAGCCACGCACGCAATCGCGATATTAGATATAAGCTAGCTCGATGCCCACTCACGTGCCACTCTAAGTCCAACAGCCTAGCCCGCCATTGCTCACCGAACAGACTAACGGGACGGTTATGCGGCGGGAGATCGGTTAATCGACGATTGATAGGGTGTATGCATTTCTTGTCTTTTTTTCTTTCGCCAGCCCTGCGCTGTACGAGTACTCGTGCTCTGCTATCTCGACCGGCTGCCGAGGAGGGGGCAAAGCTTGGTTTATTTTTAACTTATCAAGCATTGAGAATGAAGTACGGTAGTGATAGGCTTCATAGGGTATCACTCGATGGATCCTTGGATATTTTGACTAGGTGTTGAAAATCCGTACCCGGGGGTTGTCGGTAAGTCTGGCGAAGTCATTCTGATTGGCTTGTTGGCCAATCAGCCAATCATGGGTGTTTCATTGTGCCAAGAGTTCGGCAAACTTTTTCCCACCTCAAAAATCGAGCCAAGATTGACTGTCCCTATGGTCACATACAGCAGATTCTTGCTTGTGCGAAACAAAGTTCGCCGTACTTGTGCTCACCCCATAGTATGCAGGAGACTTTTTCGGGAGAGAGGCTTGAGAACTTGATTCAACATCGGAGAGGGTCAAGTAGACCCACTATTTATACCGTAAAATAGCAACATACTGTAGCGGTAGAAGGGTGCTCAGGGCACACAGTACGGAAGACAAGAGAACACTGAACGACAGGAGTATTGCATATCATCAGTTGATCGAATAATGGCAAGGAAGAAAAAATTGAGTGAGCTAATTGAACTCGAATAGCTGTAGGCCGTGAGAGACGTGGAAAATACATAGCAGAAAGCACCATCTTAACAGTGTGGTAGTCTACTCGTACCATGGGAAGTGGGAAGCATGATACCGGTATACATGATAAGGTGGGTGCGGTTGGCACGGCACGGGAGACGAATGAGTTACTACTCGTAGGGTGTGTGGGGTGGATGGATGTGCCTTGGGGTGGTGGGATTATGATATCATAATAATAATAATATATTATTATTATGGTTACAGAACTGCAGTATCATATATATTTTGGGGGCGGTAAGGCGCATCGCTTTGTGGGGGTGAGGAGGGTGGTGGTTTGGTCTGTGGGGTCGTTTGCTGTTTTGTGATTTTTATGCGTTGTGGGTTCGTGTATGGTACTCGCGTACAGACTTGATGTGTCACGCCTACCACAGATGAAGTGCTGTGAAACCAAAGATTGAAATGATACAAGTACCGGTATGGATTGTCGAGTGATGAGGTGTGAACGCTGTTTTCCATAGTACTTACTGTACGAGTACATAGCTTCTGCACCTCCCCTGAGCGCAGAATTGAGGCCTCTAGCCTTGTTTACCGGGATTGGTGTCGAGACGCATCCCAGTTTTTCCCTTTTTTCCCTTCCTTCCTGCCGGAGTAAACTTGGCGATTTGCGCTTCCCCTTTTCCGGGTAAATATATACATGTACCGTACAGTTACCGTGCAAAAGCCCGTGACGGCGATGCTATATAACCCGCCAGCTAAGAGGCCGCGATAATCGCATTCACGGAGAGGGTCTAACTGGGTGTTGCTTGCGGGTATTTATTGATCGGGTCCCGCGAACCGGTGTTCTGCTTCGTTGCCTATCTGCAGATGCTCTGCTCTTGGAGCACGTCCCCGGGATGTTTGCATATGGGTGCAGGCGTGGATTTTGGTACAGCGGTTAGGTAGCCTAGTGCCTCCCCCCCATAGAATCAATGGGGAGTGGGAAATCTTGTCGGGATGGCATTCTTTATGATAGATGCCTCTTTTCCTTCTTCTCTAGCAGAACGGCCAATCGCGGGTGGCATGGAATCCGCGGATGTGGTTTCCTGTTTCGAGGTTCATTGGTGGGTTTCCTGGGAGACTCGCATTGGGTTGAAGAGTTGAGACTTTGTCGAGTGATTATATATGACTACCGCTGTTCCCCAGTCCTCACGCATCATATTCAGATAACGATAGTAAGCAGAAAAACCCTATCATAACAAAAAGGGTTTCCGAAGCCAATATAAAAGGCTCTTTCGGACCCCACCCCACCCCCCCAATACTCTCCCAAAACCCGACAAATCAGCCCGCAATCCCTTTTCTAGCATCTCGTTGAGGCCGGGTCGGCATAGCGAGGATACTAATTATATTGAACCCCCCAAAGAACGATTCCCATATTATTATCTAAGCACTGAGCGGACCTTCCCCACACTGCACAACCGGAAACTCCATATCGACCAAAACCCCCGCGTGTGTCACCATCATTGTCACCGCCATGACACTAGCATTAACAACCAATGTCTCATTCTCCGCTAGCACCTCTCCAGATTTCGAAACATCCACCTCTAAAGCCGGACATGCACCAGAACTCTTCGCCAGCGCCGCCATATCGCTAGCACCAAGCACAGGCACTGTCATCCTCTTCTCCTCGCCGCCACCCTCCTTCCATGTGACCCTCGTGACACCACGTCCTTCATGTATATGCCCAAAGACATGCAACCTCGGTCGTATCCTCTCGACCGCCCTCCTCAAATGCAGACAACCGACATTTTGGCGCCCGGGATATACCTCGTCGTGAAAGCCCTGTGGGGGGCCATGTGTGATTAGGATGTCCGTGTCCTCGGGGATGGGATCTCTATCTACGGCAGTTTTGTTCCGCCGTCTAGTGGGGTCCGGATTCCAGCGGTCAATGTCGTGCGGGTAATTGAAGGCCCAGAAACCGAATTCGGGGGTCCAGGGTGAACCGTAGACTTTGAAGGTTGCACCGGAGGAGAGGGTGAAGGTGCGGGATTCTTCCTCCAAGTAGTGGATGTTTGACGGCAGGGAGGTGAAGAGTTGGCTCGGGTCCTCGGGGTTTATGTGGTAGTGTCGACCATAGCGGTAGTACCAGTCTTTGTCCAGTGAGAGGTCGTGGTTTCCTTTGGGGAATTGTTAGTCCCAGCGGTACTCTAGTTGTATGGGCGGGCATTAATTACCAGCTATAATTATCTTGAGCTCTGCATCAACTTCCTTGATCCATCCCAAAGTCCTCTCGAACCCACGTGCCTCCCCGGTGTTGGTCATGTCCCCAGCGTGTATGAGCACGTCACATTTTGGCAAGGGGGTGCGGAACACCTTTGACGTTGGTAGTGGTATCGAACTGTGAGTGTCCGATACAAGGAACATCCGGACCTTGGCTGTTGCTATCGTGGCGGACATCAAGCTTGAGAGGGATCTTTTGCGAAGCCTTGTTAGAATACCTTTACTGAATCCGCCATTTACCCTTGATGATATCATTGCTATAATACTACAAGGGACAATAGACAGGGAGAGTGGGTTACCTGCAATGATGGACAAGTAGCCCCGAAATGTTTTCCCAAAAAATAAATAAAAATGGCCGGAAAACTTCCAGCTCAGAATTGGATACCGGTATGCAAAGTGAATGTCCAGCTGAGTCCCGCTCAGGCGGAGAAACCCAATACCCGTACTGTTATCATATATAATACTCGAGTATGAGACACATGAGGCTCAAAAGAGGCTCTGACTAGGGGCAGCTACTCACCGATGATCGCTTGCGAATGCAAAAATATCCCCCAACACTTCAACTCGACCCAGAAGATTAATCTGTATATATTTACTTCTGAACCCTGCTATCATCGATCACTTCCATAGATTTCTCTCTGGCGTAGGTTGTGGTATCATAAGAGCACCCATAAATTAGCTTATTCCTGTAACTTACGTTGCTGCACCCACTTACGGCACCCCACATTTTAGATCGCCAACAACAAATCCCAACATCCACCTACCTACCCACAGCCCACTGCTGCCGACAGAGAAAGCGAGAAAGAAAAAAACCCTTATCAAAAACTACTGCCATGGCCACGATAAACTACCGCCTAATCGACGTCGACGCACTTGACCCCGAATCAGCATTCCCGGCGGAGCTATTGACACCCCCGTGTGATCCGATCCCGACTTCCGAGATCCAATCGCTAGCAACGCACTGCCGGCAGCTCCTACAACGTGGAGATCAAGAGGCGGCATTGGTAGCGGCTTTGGAGAACGTTCCGTACGGGGGTGATGAGCAGGGGAAGGTATTTGGTGTTCTTGAGTTGAGGGGTGTGATAACGATGATGGGGATTGAGATAGGGAGCTAATGTGGTCGGGGGGTGGTGAATAGGAGCTTCACTTGGGAACCGTCCTAGAGATTTTGTCCTCGATTAAGGCGGTAGAGATGTCGCCATTGCTTGGGAGACTGTATGCTTCGCCCAGTGGGACGGAGTTGTTGGATGTCCTTACTAAGTAAGTGTCCCTACGTTCCGGTAGCAGGTGATAGACCGAGACAGGAGGGAGAACTAACGGGAGCTACGATAGATATCTCTACAAAGGAATGGCCCGCCATAACAATTCCGCTTCTAGCACTTCCACCCCCGGGGTCTCGTCTCATGCTACGGGTGTTTCATCGGTTAGTGGGGCCAGGGAGTACGGCGTTGCACCGGGCAGGGGTGATGGCGGTGGTATGAGTGTGCTGCTCAGTTGGCATGAGAAGGTATTATCAACGCCGTCACCAGTTCTCGGGGTGAGAGAAAAATGGCTGATTTCGTGAATCATGATAGGTTGTTGAGATTGCGGGAACGGGGGCAATCGTGAGAGTCATGACCGACCGAAGAACCGTTTAACAGAGCACACACAGTCATAGTACCATAATAACCAAAGAGAGAGAGAAACCCCTTTCACACCTGGTCTTCGTTGCTAAAAGAATAGATATCTATTTCGCATTGAGAAGTTTTTTCTTCTTTCCGCCCCGAAAAGGCGCTTTCGTGTAAAAAGATCCGTAGCTAAAACTTTCCACCCACCCATCTACCCACAATCCGGCGAAAGCCAGCAAGTGCATCTACTCCCCAATGGCCCCATATTTCCTCCTATATTCCAACATTCTCTCCCTACTGCCCTCATCCGTAACGCCCACAATCAACTCGTCCAAATTCAAAATAGCTAAAACCTCAACCCCCATCTCCTTCTTAATCTCCATAATGGCACTCCCCTTCCTGTCCTCCGCCCCCACGCCCCCAATTCTCTCCATCCTATCCAAGGCAACCACGATCCCAATCACCATACCCCCAGCCTCCTCAATCGCCGAGACCGCGCCCCGGATCGCCATCCCAGCAGTAATAACATCATCAACAACGAGCACCCTCTTCCCCCTCAGCCCCATACCAACCATCCGGCCCCCCTCTCCATGATCCTTAACCTCCTTCCTGTCAAACGCATACCCAGCACCAGCATACTTCTCCGGTGCCAACTCGTACAGCTTCGCTAGTGTAATGGTAGCCAGGGGAATACCCTTGTACGCCGGCCCAAAGACCACGTCAAAGGGCGGGAGACTGGCGCTCGTGTGTATCGTGTTCGCGTATGCCGCGCCCAGCGAGGTGAGGAGGCTGCCTGTGTTGAATAGGCCCGCATTGAAGAAGTAGGGCGACTCCCGCCCGGATTTTAGAGTGAAGGTGCCGAATGTTAGGATTTTGGACTGTAGTAGGGTTTGCAGAAAGGTTTGCTTGAAGAGGGGGAGAGTTTCTGGGGATTTGGATGACATTAGAGGGGGGGGTTTTTTTTGTTTCTTTTTTTTCTCACTTCTTGAGAAGGGGCTGTGGTGGTGGTGGCTGTTGTTGGGTTCTACTGGACTTCTGGTTGGCGATGTTGTATTTTGGGAGGGGTGCTGTACTAGTACAGCGGGGAGGCAAAAATAGGTTCACGTTCTTAGTAAGCCCAAACACCTAAAAAATGTGAACGTATTTCCCCCCCCCGCTGGTATGATACGATACGTGTCATATCACCCTGTGTTATACAAAGTTTTGTATGGCAATATTATGACATGACGCTAGGGTTGTCACGGGATTCAACCTGTCTAGGGAAGCCAGGTTGCGAAACACAATCACATTCCATCACTCGTTGGAGTCCATTGGCCTGGTGGATTGTCGTTGTCGCCCAGCACTGTACAAGATATGTCAAAGAGATGTCTATATGTTATGGGATGATATAAAACCATCTATTTAGGAATCCCAGCCCCTTGTACAGTACCCCACGCATTATTTAATGACGTCCATGCATTTACCACACACTCTGGAACCCCCCCGTCCAACCCGGCCAGCAATGTGAGCAAGTACCGTACAATACTAACAGCACAAACATGAAATTTTATTAGTGCCAACCAGCCGGCCATATACTGAGACTCCCAAAACCCAAACATATTGCATGCATAACAATCCGTGCGCACACGAGACCAAACAATCATGTATCTCACAATGAACAGAAAGAGTGGACAAAAGACTTTATATACGAATTGAAACAAGAGAAAAGTCTAGCCCTCCACCCATTGAATCGAACACTCAGTCAAGGTGTCAAGTCAAGTACACTGAAACATGCGAGAATTGAAACCTTGAAAGAAAAATCACAAACCAACCAAATTAGAAAACAACAGCCACACTTACGGTAAAACCCTGAAGCGAAGAGATAAGAAAGAAAAAAAAGGGGGGTGTATCTTCGTTTATAGAATAGAAAAGAAAAAAAAGAAGAAAAGACAAGAAAACCTAATAAATAGATAAAATGAAAAGGGAGATGCAAACTCTGTGTGCTTGTTCTCATGCCAGCTCGTCAGCACTCATCTCGACTTCGTGACGTGTGATCTCCGCAATAGACTTCTTGTGAAGCATCACGCGTTTCCTACTCACTACCCGACGTTCGGCAGAGCGCTCGATCTTGCGCTTTGAAGAGGCAGACAAAGACTGGTTGGAAGTTGAAGTAGATTGAGGGGCAGTGGAAGGGATATCAACTGCAGTTTTAAGAATTGGCGTGAACGAGGAGGGGCGACCACGGTGGCAAGAGAAGGTAGCATCGGACGCAGAAAGTTCATCCTCCAGTGAATTGTTGGATTCGCAGGTGGCAGAAGGGACAGTAGGGGTGACAGCGGGTTCATAGTCGGAATCGGAGTCGATGTCTGAGTCTGAGGCCATGTCCGTGCTATCGTCGTCGTCGTCATATGTGGGTTTAGTGCGGCGGGGAGGGAGAGACGGAAGATGTGAGGAGAGAGTTGCGGAAGAAGGTGAGTAGGCCGACGATTGGGCAGTTGAGGAGGTGGCGGGGGGAGTAGTGATGGGTTCTTGGCTACGTCGGGTTAACCTGCCAACTATGGGGGAGGAGCCTGGAATTGTAATTCTTCCATTTACCTCCTCTCCATCTTCATTTGCCTCGCCGTCGTCTTCATCGTCTTCGCCATCCTCGTCGACCTCACCCTCATCGGATCTCTCAACGGGGTCGCTAGTGAAAACCTTGCCGGAGTCAATAAACCTTGACAAGAGGTTCTCTCTGGCAACGGGCGAGCTAAGCTCAGCTGACCTGCCAACCACAGGCGTGGACGCGATAAATAACTGGCTTCTCATTGGAAACTTCCTTAGGCTGTCTCTGATAGCTTGTGTTTTATCGGCGGACCTCAGGGACGGGAGCTTTATCTTCGTGTCTTCGGAGTCTGAACCTTGGTACAGTGATCCCTGCTCCTCCTCCTCCTCCTCCTCCTCCTCCGATCCTCCATCTTCACTGTCCAAGGATGCGCCATCGGAGTCATCCTCACTATCGCTGATTTCAAGTTTGGCGCTATGGTCGGAAGAGAATTTCGGATACTTCTGCCTCCAATTCCCTCCCTCACGGTTATAGATCGCCACCTCAAAGCCAGCCCCTCTAGGAATTATTTTTTTTCGGCCAGGTGTTTGACCGGTAGACACCCACTCTCCTAACCCCTCCTCATAGCGCCACCCTTTTCGCGGCTTCTGCTTCGAGGAGACACCTTGAGCTCCGTGATCCTCTTTGAGAACGGTAGTTTTAAGTGGGATCTCGATTTTGAGCCGAAGAACCTTCTTCTCAATATTTGTTGCCCATTTCACCCACTCATGTTTAAACGAAGCAACAGACTCTTGGTATTGAGTAGCAATCCTCAGCACTAATTGCCCAATCAGGTATCTCCGCTTTTCCCATTTCTTATCTTCGGGGGTTAACAGCTTCCCCGGAGTGAAAATAATTACTTTCGGTGCGGAGGTCTTAGGGGTTTTCGGAACGTTCATTGATGCGTACTCTGAAGAGGAAGCCCTGCTGATAGAGGCAAGAAGACGTCCGGTAAGGGAGTTGATCCTGGCAAATTCCTTTGCATGTTCCTCCTTCGTCGTCGAAGGTGTGTCTGGGATATAACATTCGCGCACGTAATCCGCGACCAGCAAAAATCCATCATTTCCATGGAGCGCATCCGTCAACTGTTCCAGGCACAAGGCAATTTCATCTCTACACTCACGAAGCGACTCTTTAAAGCACCCGGTCTCAAGGCAATAATCAGTACAGCTAGCCTCTTCGCACGACCATCGCTGAACATGAGCCATCGCCATAATTTTGGATGTGACTAATCCCGGCCATTCCGTTCCCCATACATCCTGTGCCAACGCTTTCGATGCCTGGTCTTGGGAGAGATAACCTTTGACGAGACGGATCAATGCGCCTCGCGCATTAGATTCTGCCCATTGGAATGTTGCGCCAACGAGAGCCCGAATAACACCTGCAATCGTCTCCTCTCCCTTCTGGCGTCCAATTCTCGGCATGGGTCTTAAATTTATATGCTCGTGTGGGCTCTCTTCATCGGTTTTATAGCTGCCTTGGAGTCCGAAAGCTGACTCAAGCAACCCGATAACCATCTCGTCTGCTCTGGGGACAATTTCAATGTCCTTTGTTGCTATAATCAAAATGGCCTGAATCTCCTTGCTGGATATCCAGCTAGGATTCTTGTAGACGGGAGGAGTAAATGCTTTGAGGATTCTGTACACAGAACTAGGTGGCACAAAACCGCCAGGGCTTATCGAGAAGTAGGACCTCATAGTCTCAAAGGCCGGGTTGGTCTTTGCAGTGTAAAAGACAGGGTTGAAAAATAATAAAGTTTCAAGTAGAGCCTCAGCTTCACGTTCGGCACCATGTTTTCTGCACAAACCTATGCAGCTCCCTATCGCCCCTGCTCCACCGCCGTCTACCGGATCCATAGCCCGGACTGCTAGTGCATCCTTTAATAACTCAATTCCGTGCCATCGCGCGACCTCCCTAAGATACTCTCCACTCCTACCATATCCTTTGGCGTAGTCGTACCAGTCCATGCCGTCGTCTCCGACAGCAAGGATACAGTAGGCCACTTGTCGAGACGCCATAGAAGCTAAGGTCGGAATGGCTAGTTCTTTATGTGGGGGCGATGTTGCGAATAGAAACTTGTCTAATGCTGAATAGACGGCTTCTTGGTGTTGGTGTATGCGTGTATTGGCTTCATCCGTAAAAGCTATGGGTTTGACGATTCTTGCTGAAAGATTCTGAGAAGCTGGAACCATCCCTTTAGCAATAAAATCTGCACCAGCGCTCCAATGAAGAGGTAAAGGATCATCGGTGCGATCATGAAAACTAAAAGAAGCATAATCCATATTCTTAGTCCCTCTCGAGACTACCATTACTGATGCACTACTTGCGCTCGGCGCCCGCACAGCGTTTTTGCCAGGGATCGTTTTCGATGCTCCGTATGTTCGCATTGGCTTTCTAGACTTCTTCGAGCCGAATTTACACCCTCCATAATTATCACCGCTGTCGGGAGAAAGAGTCCGTCGTGGTCTCCGAGCCCTTGCCTCGCTCCGTTTAACCTCTTCCCTGAGCGCGTTGAGTTTAACTAACAGCGGTCGTATAATGCGCTTACACCGCGCGGGGTCCCATTGAGTATTCGGAGGAGGTGGTGCACCCGATAAAGACAGACGTTTCACCATTGCTGCGAAGTCGGAATCGTCAGTCTGATCAAGAGAAAATGAAACCTCTTGCTTGAGAATACAGAGGTAAAAAAAGAAAAAAAACAGGGGCAGTAGTGATACAGTTGGCAGAGTTGACGGATGGTGGAGGTGGCGGTGATGGGAGATGGAGGTGGGGAAAATTTAAACTTTGTCGAAGAGATTGCCGGCTAGGGCATTCGAGAGCTTCTTCACGGGACACCCGGTTGTGGAAGGGAAGTAGCGACTAGTGGGAGGACGCGTTCTTCTACAGGCACTTGTACCCATAACGAGACGTTACCCCTGCTTTGCGAGTCCTGGCGCCCTGAGTTACCCGATTATGTATACCCTAGATCTCCCTATATCTCACGCGACCCATTAGTGCAGTAACCTCTTCCATCTGGGTTTAAGTTATGGGACATGCTTCCCAGGTTCTTTCCCAAAAGACTTTCTCTGGCGTCCATTATGCAACTGCCCTTTACAATGTCAGTATCCTTTAGCCCTTGCCCGTGGCGCGCCCAAGGGCCATAGTGTTTCGGGGCAGAGACACCGGTATGATAGAAAACTTATTACCGATTCTAACAAAGTGCATCTTACCAGTATTCCTACAAGGCGCCATATTCCCTGGACGGGATGAAACCACAGTGCCGGCATACCGCACTTGAGTATTTGTGCTCGAGTAGCATGGAAGCCAAAGGTGAGTAAGGGCGGTGGTGTCGATGGAAACAAGGTGTTCGTGGGAGCAGGGGGCGTAGGCATACCACAGATACCGGTAGTCGAGATATACCTGGTGTTCTCACGTGCAGACGGAGCACTTATAGAGATCTGTGAGAGAGCGAGAGAGGACAGCGGGCTAACCGGTGAACCCGGCTGGTGAGTGGGAGAAGGAGAGCATGGAAAGCATTCCGAAGTGTCAAAATGCTAATACCGTGCTAGAGCATATAAAAACCTTATTTTACCTCCATGGTACCCAACCGGTCTTTGAAACCCGATGCCTCGGGTTTGCACGACATAGTTTACTTGAGTACCACCGGTACCTTATGATACAGTACTCGTACACCGGTGTCTCGGGAAAACTCCTACCTGCTCTAACTTATGCCTGATGCAGCTTACGAGAAAGCACACGATATCCGCCATCCCCCTCACCCATAAAGTTTACACCACACTCGAGCTCTCCTAAATGTGCGGTACGGAGTAGTCTATGCCCACACGTATCATACTACTAATGATTATCCCAATGGGTATTAACACACCAATTCTCTGGATTCAAAAGGGTGATTCAAAAGGGTGATCTTTTTCCCAGTGAGATTGATCTATCTTCAATATCATTCATTCTGCATTACTGTGTCTTACCGACATGCAGTCAGGGAGTGTCCACTTGTACTAGTACGGTACAATCGCTGCCAGAAGTTATTTCTATAGAACTCTAAACGATTGCATTTGAGTGCGAAGTACGAGGGTGTAAGGGTAAGTGATCGGAACGCCCGTGATCTGTTTTCCGATCACTTCTTTCCTCACATCATAGTGAAAACCTGATTGGCTGCTCCCAGATAACCCGTGGCAACAATTGGTCAAATTGTCGGTTTTCCGATCACTTTCTTGCACACCCTCGTACAACTTTGTTCAGGCTAGATTATCATGTCTATTTTCACCAAACCCCTCTGCCTCTAGCCCGGGGAAGAGTGAGTTTCCGATACCCACTTGAGCATCACACCCCTGTATACCGAGCCGGATCCTGTCCGTGTATGACTCGCAGAAAGGGCTGCTGTCTTGCACCAGGATCCAATATCTATCCCTTTTGTCCGTGAGAGGCGCCTGTAGGGGCTCGGGAAATGGTTTTTCGGCCAAGTCAAACAAGTCTACAGGACTTCCATACCGGGCCGGTGAAGAACGAACTCTTCCTTTCAAAGTGCGAGAAAAAATCCGTGACTTTTGTGACTTTTTTCCCTTTTTCTCCCGTTCGAACAGTTTTCCTTCCCTCGGATCGGTATGTTAACTTAGGGGATCAAATGCCGCCGTGAAAAAAAAAAAAAAAGGAAAAGGAAAAGGAAAAAAAATCCCCCACCATCATCGGGGCGGAACGGGAGAAACCCCTCGTCCTTAACCCCTATTGGGAGATCTCGAAGAGGGTTCCAGCTTTTCTGTGCGGCCGTCTGGCTGTATTTTTTTGTTCTTTTGCCCTCCCCTTTCCATTTTCCAACCCAGCCAAGACAATTTTTCTTGCCGACCTCGTTCAAAAACCCCATCTCTTTCCCCAATCCTCCCTCCCTTCTATTCTTCTCATCCCACTCTCATCAAGTCCGCCGAAGAGTCGTTGATCCACTCTTTACCTTTCCTACCTTTGGTTTTCTGTTTTTGAAAAACTTCTCCCCTCACAAAACTTGTTAAAATGCCAGAACAATCTGTAAGTTGAACAAATTTTCACCCCTATCCGTCCGTCTATTTCTCCGCAGCGGCAGTAGCACTATCAAATACAATTTTGATATTACTTGCTTTCCGATACCATGTTGAGATATTGGCATGAAGACTAGTGACTGCCATGGTCTTATCATTGTAGTCGCTGTTGACATGGATAGGTTATCCGCTTAGTGAAGAATTTTTACTGACTTTGCGCACAGACTTTCCTCGTTGACTTCTTGAGTATGTTACCTCTCCGCAATTGAACCAAGCTCGATACCTCATACTTTTGAGGGGAATGGTTTCATCATAAGAATCTGGATAATTGACATTTTCTTCCAATAGTGGGCGGCGTTTCTGCCGCCGTCTCGAAAACTGCTGCTGCACCCATTGAGCGTATCAAGCTCCTTATCCAGAACCAGGTTTGTTGTCTGAAATTAATTTCCTCCTATTACTCCAATATTGAAATGGTACACTAATACGCACTCCTCCGCTCCAGGATGAAATGATTAAGGCCGGACGTCTCGACCGCAAATATGGCGGTATCGGAGACTGCTTCAAGCGTACTATCGCTGACGAGGGTATTTGCTCCTGCGGCTCATAATTCACCCATCTACTAATGCTTCTCCAGGTACCGTTTCTCTATGGCGTGGTAACACTGCCAACGTTATCCGTTACTTCCCCACTCAGGCGTTGAACTTTGCTTTCCGTGATAAGTTCAAGAAGATGTTCGGTTACAAGAAGGAGCGTGATGGTTATGCCAAGTGGATGGCTGGTAACTTGGCTTCTGGTGGTGCTGCTGGTGCTACTTCCCTCCTGTTCGTTTACTCTCTTGACTACGCCCGTACTCGTCTCGCCAATGACGCCAAGTCTGCCAAGAAGGGTGGTGAGCGCCAGTTCAATGGTTTGATCGACGTCTACAAGAAGACTCTAGCCTCTGATGGTATCTCTGGTCTTTACCGTGGTTTCGGTCCTTCCGTCCTTGGTATTGTCGTCTACCGTGGTCTGTACTTCGGTATGTACGACTCCATCAAGCCTGTCGTCCTTACTGGCAAGCTTGAGGGCAACTTTTTAGCCTCTTTCGCCCTGGGGTGGATAGTCACCACTGGTGCTGGTATCGCCTCTTACCCTCTTGACACAGTTCGTCGTCGTATGATGATGGTAAGTAAATATCTCTTTATGCCGTGATTACTCTCAGTTTACTCACAAAATTACAGACTTCTGGTGAGGCCGTCAAGTACAAGTCCTCTCTCGATGCCTTCTCCCAGATCGTCAAAGCTGAGGGTGTTCGCTCCCTCTTCAAGGGCGCTGGTGCCAACATCCTCCGTGGCGTCGCCGGTGCTGGCGTGTTGTCCATCTATGATCAGGTCCAACTCCTCATGTTCGGAAAGGCCTACAAGGGTGGATCTGGTTAAGCAAAAAAAAAAATGTCTAAAAATAGAAATGGTATGGGTGGATGGTAACGCAAAACCTCTTTTCAGGGATGGGAAGGGGGCTTGCGATATGACAACTTTACCTGCTGTATACGATGCCAGGCAGGAGAAAAGAAATTCTACTCAGTAACAAAAGCTTTTAGTGTAATTAGGATATCTTCGTTTTACAATCTTTTGTTTTCCGTTGTCTCATCCTTCCTTATACATGAAGCAAATGGCGGGGACTAAAATGTGGGTTTTCTTTGTTTTTGAGGTGTCGGTTTCAGTTTTTCCATGGTTTAGGTTTTCATGATCAATAGAGAATGTCCTCCCATAGCATTTATTTGTTCATTGTGATATTTGCTTTCATATGATGCGCAAAATGACTACTGTAAAGTAATAACTTAGTATACAAGGTAAGGTGCCTTGGAACGCACAAACGGGGTCACACTTATTTGCATTTGTACCCTGGTATTGGTATTGGTATTGTATGGTATGGTATGATGCTCGGGGGCGTTTAAAACATTGGATGTGAGTTCCCCTATACCAGTAGATACTCGAGGGTACGGTATGTTAACTGTCCTGTGCATATCCGTGTTCTGTGTCGGCTCACTGTTCTTTACAGGAAAACCCAAATAATGTTATCAGAGTCAAGAGTCCTCATTATATTCTCAGATACCCCTGGCGGAACGAGGTCCAGGATCGGAATTTATGTTTCAGTAATTGAGGTTTTATCACACGGTAGGACCCTGGGACAGGGAGGGAGACCTTCAGGAGATTTAAACTACCAGTTATCATACTTATAACTTAACAAAGCAAAATGGGACCTAAAGGTTGTCCCGACCCTGAAGCTCCTGAGTATGGGAATGAAATAAGACAAGAAAGTGTGATATCATAACAAGTACAAGTACCGTGTTCCCAGCAGAGTTGCTGGTCTAGCGTGCCGCAACTGGGGCAAGCAACTCACGGGCGCACGCACGTGGCAGAAAATTTCCCCCAGCCAAGACGCGGCACTGCATGTCAATCACATCGTGAACCATACGTCCGAGCGCAAGCAAAAAAGAAGCTGGACGGAGAGAATCTTCCATGGAGAACAGACCTTCAACCCGCCTTGGGAATTCCCTTAACGGTAGACATCCGGGCCCGCGGGAACGGCAATTGCCAGACAATAACATCCCACCTCCGCCTCTCCTGCCACCACCACCGCCCCAGCACGAACGATCTCCAAGCACGTCATATCACGCAAAGCGTACCAGCCGTACCAGTGGTGGTACCCCCCCGCCAAAGAGGCCACGAACAGGCAATGAAGAACAGTGGAGTCGGTGGAGCAATGACGGCGGTGGGCGGGGAGAGCTTAAAGTTGCTCCGGATTGGAGCGGGAACGAAACCACCATGAACACCGACCATGGGGACGAGGACCAGTACCAACGGGAGCGATATTTTGGGTCTAACTCCACGCCCACGCCCTCAGCGTCGATGCCACCGCCGAGTACGTCCTTGACATACCGAGACACGGAAAACGAGTACTCGCTCGCGCATGCAAAATGGGGCCTGCGGAGAGAAGTGGTCATGGGCTTTTCCCACTGCGGTATTGGGCAGATGTACCCCTGGCAAGCGGAATGCCTAGCTATGAGTGGGTTGCTCGCTGGCGAGAGCAACCTCGTCTACACTGCTCCTACGTCCGCTGGCAAGTCCCTCGTGGCGGACATCCTTGCCATCAGGAAGGTCGTGAATGAGCGTAGGAAAGCCATCATTGTATTGCCGTTCATCGCTATCGTCCAGGAGAAGACAAGATTTCTCAAGAAGGTTTTGGAGAAAGTCCGGGTTGCGGTGCCGAAAAGAGGGAGGTGGGATAAAGCGAATTTATGGAAGCATCTTAATATCATCGGGTTTCATGGTGGGTCTAAGGCGAGAATGGGGTGGAAGGAGTTAGATGTTGCGGTTTGCACTATTGAGAAGGTTCGCCGAATGCCGTATCCGTAGGATAGATCCTGCAGATTACGATCCTTTAGCTGAGGTTTTCTTGTCTATGGTGATAGGCAAATGCACTTGTCAATGCTGCGATTGAAGACCGGACTGTAAACCAGTTGGGCATCGTCGTTTTCGATGAATTGCATATGCTGGGTGACGACCATCGGGGATATATCCTTGAGCTGCTCGCGACGAAATTACTTTGCTTAACAGAAGCGAACATTCAGATTGTGGGCATGTCGGCCACTCTTAGCGTACTTCCCCCTCTTTATCTCTCATCTTTGCCCTCGATAACTGGGCCTAACCTCAATCCAACAGAACGTAAGGGTCTTAGCAACCTGGCTAAAAGCGCAATTCTACGAATGTGCCTTCCGACCCATCCCTCTACAAGAACACCTGGTCTACGACAATAACATCTACAGCTATGACGAAAAGCTTGTCGCAAAAATTTCCCCCAGCGAGCCTAAGGAGTTAAAAGACCCTGTGACAAACGCAATCGTATCATTAACCCACGAGGCGGTGAAAGGGGGCCACGGAGTGCTTGTGTTCTGCGAGAGCAGGAGTCGGTGTGAAGATGTTGGGAGGTTGCTTGTCAAGTTTATGCCTGCAGTGAATGAAGAGATTCGGGAAGAGAGAATGGAAATCATTAGGGATCTTGCGACGACGAGTACCGGATTGGATCCCATCTTGGAGAAGACCGTGCCGGCAGGGGTGGCGTTTCATCACGCTGGTTTGTGGTTCTGCCCGAGAGAGATGGGGGGAGTTGTGGTAGCGGGGCGGTTGACTAATTGGAAGCCTATTAGGTTTGACGACGGAAGAGAGGGATCTAATCGCTGAGGCGTATGATCGAGGGGCTATTAAGGTTATTTGCTGTACGGCTACTATGGCGGCTGGGGTTAATTTGCCCGGTAAGTGATTTCCGGGTATCAGGAAATGCCGGAGTGCTAATGGTGGTTTTGATAGCCAGAAGAGTTATTATATCGCCGAGGATGGGAAGGGACTTTCTTTCACCGACAATGTTGTATGTCTTCCACTCTCCTAATTGGGGTCCAACTCTAATGGCTTCCAAGGAAACAAATGAGAGGCAGAGCTGGAAGGAAGGGGAGAGATACCCATGGCGAAAATTACCTCTGTTGCAGGAAGGAGGACTTAGGACCGGTCAAGGAGCTAATTAATGCGCCGATGCCATCAATTCAGAGCTGTCTTGGGGGAGAGACTGGCAGTTTGAAGAGGTATGATAGCGTATTATGCTCAAACTTGCCTCAGGTTATCACTAACCCTCACCCCTGCAGAGCTCTGCTTGAAGGCATAGCTACAAAGCTAGCAACATCCGACGACTCCCTAAGTGAATACATGCGCGCAACGCTAATCTACCACACGACACCGGAGCCACTAAAATACCTAAAGCCAAAGATTCTAGATGCAATAGAGCATCTCAAGCAAATGGGGTTAATAAGCGAAGACAGAATTCAAGGGTACTTCCACGCAACAGGGGTAGGGAATGCAACTGTTGCGTCTGGACTCAGCCCTGAAGAAGGAGTATTCCTGCACGACGAGCTATCTCGGGCGTTAATGAACTTTAATCTCGAAAGCGACATGCACATTGTCTACCAGTTTACTCCGATCCATTCCTCCACGACCGCAAGTGTAAACATAGATTGGAAGCTCATGCGCGAGGAAGTAGAAAAGCTTGATGAAAGCGGTATTCGAGCGGCGACTTTCGTAGGTGTTAGTCCAGCTTTTGTCAATAAAATGTAATGCTCACCTCTCCCCCACTCACTCACCCTCACCTCACGCTTCTAATTGTACATATAGGGCCCAAGGCGGCACCCTCCGTGAGGATTCCCCACAAAACATCTCCAAGGCCCGCGTATATCGCCGCTTCTACGTCTCCCTCATGCTACGCGAACTCCTTAACGAAAAACCCGTACACATAGTAGCCGCAAACTATAACATTGCCCGCGGTTTTATCCAGCAGCTCTCGACAACCTGCAAAGGCTTCGCCACAATAAGCGGCACCTTTTGCAGGGTCATGGGATGGACAGGCTTAGCCGTCTTACTAGAACACTACAGCTGGAGACTCGACATGGGTGTCAAGGCCGACTTGATGAGCCTTGCTAGGATACCGTTCGTTAAGAGCGTCACCGCAAGGATTTTTCACGAGAATGGGCTTAAGAGTGTAGAGGCAGTGTCGGCATCAAACGTAGAGGCCTTAGTGAAATTGTTAGAGTTAGCGCAGCCGAAGAAGTTGCGGTTGAGAGAGGCGGAAATGGGCAAGATGAGGGGTAGGTTGGAGCAGAGGGCGGCGGTTATACTTGAGGCGGCGGTGACAATTTATGAGCAGGATTGTAAGGATGCCGCAGAGGAGTGAGAAGGGTGAGAGGCGTTGGGGGGGCTTTTCTCGGCGTTCTGTTTTAACTTATAGAGGTTGGGGCTTTTGTCAAGGTCACAGTTTGGTTATTAGTATCATAGCATTGCTGGTGGTGGCCATGCGAGGGGCTTCATATAATAAGGCTATATCCTGTAACGCAATACTCCATTGGTATGTATGATAGTAATGTGGACAAGCGGTTTTATGTCTGAAGTGCGACTCATTGGCAAGATTGTCGAGTGCTCCATCATGACCCCACACTAGCCTACTCAGAAATCTTGGCAGGGCACAAACCCCCAGCTAACAGTCCTACACCCAATTCCCCCCAACAACGCACAAGCAAACTTGACCCAAACTTCCTCTCTCTCAGCAACTATTGAGACGAGGACCGAATTACTGCACAACCACCAACATGTCCATCAACAAGATCGCCCACAACTGCCCCTCTCATGCTAATCCCAGCGAGCTGGAGTCCAGTATCGCTCAGGCCCTTTATGACCTCGAGCACTCTGTCACCGATCTTAGGAGCGCCTTGAGGCCTCTCCAATTCAGCTCCGCCAAAGAGGTAATTACGTAGTCTTTTTTTTATGAATGATATCCCAGTCTCCCCTTCAAACCCCGGGGGGGGGAAGGAAGGTACGGGAATGCTAACGGTGGGATTTTTTTTTCACGGAGGGCAGATCGAGGTCGGATCTGGAAAGAAGGCTATTGTTGTTTTCGTTCCGGTCCCGTTGTTGGACGGTTTCCATAAAGTTCAGCAGAGGTATCTACTCAGCAATTCTATTCAGATTGGGGCAGTTAACTAACGATGATGGGTGTAGATTAACTCGTGAGCTCGAGAAGAAATTCTCTGACCGCCATGTCCTCTTTATTGCTCAACGCCGCATTCTCCCCCTCCCGTCTCGCAGATCTCGCGTTACCCAGAAGCGCCCGCGCTCCAGGACTCTTACTGCTGTCCACGACGCCATCCTTCATGACCTCGTCTTCCCCACCGAGATTGTCGGCAAGCGCATCCGCACTAAGGAGGACGGTCACAAGATCATCAAGGTCTTCCTCGACGCTAAGGAACGTGCGGGTGTCGACTATAAGGTTGATACCTTCGGAGAGGTTTACAAGAAGCTGACTGGCAAGAACGTTGTTTTTGAGTTCCCGGTCGTTGGTGAAAGCTACTAAAGTTCGATAAATTAAACGGGAACGGGTTTTTTTCTTGATGTATATTTTTTTGCCGGCATGGGTGGCGGAAATATAAAAGTTGGGCTCTGGAATATGGGCGTTGGGCATCTTTTTCTTTATTGGCTGATTGGTTACTTGATCAGATTGGTCTTTAATCTTTTGTTTAAGCCCATAGTGGTGTGGGCTGGGACTTCCGGGACGCCATTATATGAAAACTGAGCTAAGGTTCAAGTAATCTCTTGTAGAGCATAGTACAGATCTTAAACAATGGTTTAATGACGTTAGGAGAGGGTGACCATATTCATATTCCAGGTGATTAGTTACTGGGCTCCTGGCCTTGTAGTAGGGATAAGGCCAATAGCTGCTATTGCAAAATATTGTAAGGGACAGCATTACTATGCCACTCGCAAGCTTGGGAAATATTGATGGTATGTAGAGGGTGTGTATAGTGCTTATACAGGTAATCTAAGGGGGGTTGGAAGCACCAGTAAAGCATTGGTTGCAGTACCGTACGAGTACAGTAAGTCCCTTAATTAGTAGCACTGTCTCTCTTTCTGTTCCCCTTGAAATTCTTTATCCTTAGACTACCGGTACCATTCCCACTACTTTTGCCCACCTCTCTGCTGCTCTGCTCTATGGCCGGGTAACCCCTTAAAATGGGGGTAAGGTGGTCGCGTCTAGGCTACGCTCAGGAGTTTTGATCCGGTCCCCCTCTCCCTCCACTCCATATGTCTGGCACATCATCAACCCCCCCACCACCTCCAAATCTCCAAAACTACCATCTTCCTCCTCCCCCAAATTCCCAAAATTTTATTTCTACCATAATACTTTGCGATCATGAGGTTCTGGATAGCCTCCCCCATCTCCGCCCTGCCCTTCTTCGTCTTCTCCCTCCTGCAACTGACAATAGCAAGCACCTCCAACACCCCCCAACAAGAACCGTGCACTGTAATATCCGCCCAAAGTGGCAACTTCTTCGACCTCCGCCCATTAACTCGCACCTCCGCCAGCACCTCTTCTTCCTCGAGCAGCAGTAACACAGTCCACGACTGGACAGCCCGCGGGCACGACTACCCCGCAAACTTCACACTGAATATCTGCGCCCCCGTGCTCTCGGACGTTGCTGACGTAGTGTCAGTCTCTACTTCGCAGAAGTCCAATATCTCGGCATTCTACATCACCCAGGAAGGAAAGCAGTACTCTATTGGCAGTGTTTCCACAAACCCGTATTTTCGGGGGAGGAAGCTAGTTCTAGTGTACGCCGGTGGCTCACCATGCCCTGCGCCGGACGGGGAGGAGAGGGAGAAGAGCAAGAGCAGCAAGAAAAAGAAGGGAAGTGGATACAGGAAGAGCACGATAATGTCCCACCTCTGCGACCGCGACGCCGTCAGACCGGTCATCAGCTTCGTTGGGGAGGTGAACGAGTGCGGGTACTTTTTCGAAGTACGATCCTCGGCTGCGTGTCCGACTGCTGGAACGCAGGCTCTGGGTCCTGTTAGTGTTTTTGGTATAATGTATTCCCCCCTCTCCCTAAACCTTCCCTTCGGCTCGTTAGCTGCGCTAACAGATACACAATAGCGGGCTAGTAGCAGCACTGGTATACCTCGTCGGCGGTTGCGTGTACCAAAGAACAGTAATGCACGCCAGGGGCTGGCGCCAAATGCCGAACTATGCAGTTTGGGCGGGCCTAGTCGGCGGCGTTTGGGTGGGTTTCCTTTCTAAACTCTTTTGTTCTCGCCATCCTTCTTCCTCTTCAGCACCCTCACAGCTACCAAAGCCACCACACCTTTCCACCCGGCAGTGGACTTGAGTAGTAGCAAAAATGGGGCACACACACATACACACATACACACCCTGCAGGCAGGGGCGTTTTGAACTTCGTCTGGAAGATGTCGTAGCTAATATCAATCTTAACAATTGTTTTGAAAAAAAATGTAGGCTCTCATTAGATCTATCTGGGACCGCTGTGCCAGTAAATTACATCTTCCACGAAGCTCGTACGATCTCATTGGCGCTCGGAGGAGTAGCCTTGAGAGTGAGAATAGGCTGATTGATGCTCTGGATGAGGATTGGGGGGAGGATGCTTGATTTACTTTACCTTGTTGTAATTGGAGCGGCGTTATGAATTGTTATCGGTATCGGTATTCTAAAATGGGTCGGTAGGGGATTGGGAGAAGAGGTGGCATGGATGTGTTAGTTTCTAGCGCTTTGTTTCTTATTTCCATTTAGGGCCTATTCGGCCTGTGCCGATTAGAATATACTGTGATATATTTGAAAACAGCATTTTCCTAATACTCAAAACAAAAGTTAATCTCATGGTGAAGCAGCAGATCCTCCTTCGCTCACCTCTGTGCAAAAGAAAAGCAGCATAAGGCTTACATGTTAAGGAGTAAGGAACCGGAGGTGTTGCGAGATATTGCGGGACACTGGATGAAATATTTCGCAGCATCACAATTTTCCTCCTCAATATTTTAGACTAGGCCTCCCCTAACTTCTTCTTTTGTATATAGAGTAAGTGGAGGAGGACCTGCTATCTGATCATATTAATTTTTTTCTTTGGAGGTAGATTGCTTTTGTTATCAGGAAATATGCTATTTTCAAAAATATCGCAATACATTTTTTATTAGTACGTGCTGAACTGTTCCTTATATTTTTCTCCAACTAGAGTGTATAGTACTCGTACCAGTGCTGTGAACCGCGTGGTGCACCTCCCTCTTCGTAAAGAGGGGTTTATTTCTTTTTTAAGCGGTGTGATGCGCAGTATATGGCATAATATTATGATAATTAAAACCATCGATTGCCTCATTTCATTTTTTCCCCACCCCCGCCCATCCGTTTAACGGATCCACACCATCGGGGGAAAACGCCGAAATACCAGTACAGTACAACCCTTGCATCTACTCTTCAACACTACTAACCTTATCCCACTCCTCCTTCAAAGTTTCCTTCCAAAGACTGACCTTATTATCCCCGCCGCTAACGGCAAGCACATTCCCGGAAAGGCTCCAGCTAACCCTCCAAAGCACCGTGTCCATCTGCAGCACCTTTTTAGTCCACGCCTCGCCGTCCTGTTGAGTCCAGATGATGACGGACTTATCCTGCGACGCACTGGCGATGTACGACTTTGGCAAGATTGAGGGTGCCCATGCCACGTCACGGACCCAATCCTGGTGCCCCTCAAGAACGGACTCCTCAACGTAGGTGCCGACCTCGGGACTATAGGACCAGATCTTGACCAGGTTGTCTGAACCACCGGTTGCGAATCTGCGTTGCGTGAGGTGCTGCTGCTGTTGAGCGGCGGGGGTGGCAGTGGAGGTCGAGGCGGAGGAAGATGTGGTTTGGACGAGGCTGGCGGGTTGGGTTGCTGGCGCCCAGGATACAGCATTGCAGCCGATTACGTGGGCAGCGAAGAGCTTGGTGTCCCAGGTTCCATTGTCCTTGAACTCTAGCACAGAGACTTTGGCGTCAGAGGAGGCGCAGGCGAGGACTGCGCCAGCTTCGTGCGGGGCCCATTGGACGGAGTTCACTTTTGCATTATTAGTACTTTCTCGCTCACCGTGATATGAGGTGGGGGGTTACCGGAGGCATGATGATTCGCGTGCTCGAATAGCTTCGACCACGATCCTGAGCGCTCTTGCCAGATTATGACTTTCCCGTCGTAGGAGGCACTAGCGAGGATCGTGCCGAACTTGGGGTGGGCCCAGGAGATTTGCCAGACTGGTCCGTCGTGGCTTTCATTACGAGTTAGTTAGGCAGAAAGTAAGGAAAGAGGAGTGAAGCTACCCGCGGAGGGTCTCAAGGAGACGATGGTTATCACGGTCTACTTCAAAGATTTTGATGGTTTTGTCGGAGGAGCAGGTCTATTCCACCCATTAGCTTACTGGACAAACAAGGGATGAGGTATATGATGTGATAGAGGGAGGGGGGGATAATTACAGCAAGACGTTTACCATAGTAGTCCAGAGCGCAGTCATGCTGTGTCTCATCAGTCCAGTTCTACCAGAACTCCGAGTACTGAATTTGTTGTGTATACATACGATCATGTCATCGTGAAGATTAGATAATTGAGTCTATATCATCGTATCCCATCATTAGCTCATCTCGTCTCCAAGACCAGATGATCAAATAACAAAAGACCCACCATTGTGAGATAGATGTATTGATTATTGTCTGATTGATAATCTCAAATTCGCTATGCAATAAGGAAAGTGCGGTAACTTAAAGGGAAAAAGGAAAAAAGAGAAAAAGACAAAAGCTTCCCACAAGGCTTTGTGTTCGCAGTTGTGTGTGGCTGTCTGAGTTCAGGCGACGTTGAACCAAGAAAGCTGGTTGTCACTCCAGGATTAGGGTAAGCAAGCTCGGGAATTACCCGGCTTTTAGAGATGGGCTGGTGCCTGCCAAGACGACAAGGAGGTGAATCGCTTGCAGGGAGTTTCTTTTCATATTATCATAGGTGGGATGCCCTTCCATCGGGGAAAAAGAACACAAGACCATAAGACTATGATTTAACTACCACTACGGCCACAACACAACAACCTCTATCCCCCAGACAGGCACATTGCAATCTGCATTTCTAGCAGGCTCACTCAAGGATAATCCGGATACAGAAGAGAGTATGGCCACCAATTCAATAAAACTCCTAACAGGCAATTCCCACCCAGAATTAGCCAAGAAGGTCGCCGAACGGTATATACACTTCCCCCCCGCGCCCTCTCCTCCAGTCAGCTAACCAAACATTCAGCCTGGGCATCGACCTCCTTGACATGTCCGTCTTCAAATACTCCAACCAGGAGACCAGCGTAATAATGCGCGAGTCGGTGCGGGATGAAGACGTCTTCATCCTACAGTCGACAAAGCCGGGTGAGGAGCTGAACGACGGCCTAATGGAGCTGCTGATAATAATAAAGGCCTGCAAGACGGCCTCCGCGCGGCGAATTACGGCTGTGATGCCAAACTACCCATACGCAAGGCAGGACAAAAAGGACAAGAGCCGTGCACCCATAAGCGCGAAGTTGCTAGCGAACATGCTGCAGAAGGCTGGGTGCAATCACATTATAACGATGGACCTGCACGCCAGCCAGATCCAGGGCTTTTTTGATGTGCCGGTTGATAAGTACGTCGTCCATCCAACCCCCAACCCCGGCTCCGCTCTGCGGAAATTGACTGAGGGCTAGTTTGTACGCGGAGCCGTCTACGCTCCGCTACATCCGCGAAAATTTCGACTACAAGAACGCGGTAATTGTGTCCCCAGACGCTGGCGGTGCCAAGCGCGCGACCGCACTGGCCGACCGTCTAGACTTGAACTTCGCCCTCATACATAAAGAGCGTTCACGCCCCAACGAAGTGTCGAGGATGACGCTGGTCGGGGATGTCGCCGGGAAGATCGCCATCCTCGTCGACGATATGGCCGATACTTGCGGCACACTGGTTAAGGCTGCCGACGTGCTCATGGCTTCCGGAGCCCGGGAGGTTGTGGCTATCGTTACGCATGGCATACTCAGTGGGAGTGCATGCGAGAAAATCAATAGCAGCAAGTTAAGCAAGGTCGTGGTCACGAATACGGTCCCCCACGAGGAGAAGAAGAAAGGGTGTGCAAAATTGGAGACTATTGACATTGCGCCTACGGTATTTATCCTCCACATATATGTTTGAAGAATTGGGCTAATGATGAGCTTAGCTAGCGGAAGCTTGCAGAAGGACGCACAATGGCGAGAGTGTATCGTTCTTGTTCTCTCATGCTCCGGTTTAATTCCCCGGAAAGGAAAGAGAAAAAAATACAGGTTACCGCTATCTTAGTTTTTGTTTCGAGGTAGTTCGTTATCGCTTGTTTGTCTGCTTGCATGTTTGGTCACTGTGCTCCCTCTACTTGTCGCAATCCAGCAGTCCTTGTATTTTAACTCAAAAGCACAATATTAAGCATTCGTTTAGTTCCCGTTCCCCTTCACCCCTTCAATCCTCTAACCCTTCTATTGCAACACAGCACGTCGATCACGAAAAATCACTCGTAATATATTTTCCTTCTACAAGCGTCTTTCCCTCGCACTATGAAGGAAAAGCAAAAAATTGGAGGACACCACACCATCAAGAAAAAAATCTTCTAGATCGCTTAAGCTAGGCTTATGCCAGTGCTCCGGGGGGGGGGTACAGTACTCTACAATAGACGGAAGACAGAAGATCAAGATAAGATGAAAAAATATTGACCAACAACAAGCCGAAGAAAAAAGTGAAAAAAGTGAAAAACGCCAGAAATGCAATGAGGGATATATAATTTACGGTGATGTCATCTAGGTGTGTGTGTATATATATGGATAGCAGAGAAGAAGGTTATCAGTACCGCATGGGAAATACTATAAACAAGAGAAAAAAAAAATCCTATAACCTCTAAAAAGAAGAAAAAAAGAGGGGGGAGAAGGGATTATGAAATCCCGAGAAACGTCTTCGACCGTTCGTACACAAAGAAGGAAGTCCTGCAAATGCAAACATCGTTAGTAGAACTTAATTTAACCCAAGTCGAGATGGGCACAAGCTGGGAGAGAGGGGTAGAACTCACGCAACCATCGGCACAACCTTCACGTATCCAATCTACCCATCCCCCGACGCATATTAGTCGACTCCCACCTATTTGGAAAGGATGAAAGTAGTACACACCGACAACCCCACAAAAAAACCCCTAGCTCCACCCCCACGCCAAATATCCCTAGTGGTCTCACGCATGCTAACGACCCTGCCATCGCCGACGGCGCCACCGACTTGCATTCTCCTGCGGATGACTTCGAAAGGATAACTCGCCGTCTGGCTAACCATGCCTGCGAAGCCACCAGCGCACAATTCGGCCCATCCCTTCAATTGCTTCTTCTCGCTGTGCTGCTTCGCGCCCTTCTTGGAGAGACTAACGTATCCTCGCTGCCTCAGCCAATCCCCCACGATATCATGAGTGAGGAATGACATGCCAGCATACGGCAGCATACCAAGAACCGTAGGTCCGAAACCGCGATAAAATCCGCTGACACCACCACCACCCCCTTCCCGCCAAAGTCTCTTAGCAATACCCCTCAGCGAGCTCTTCTCCTCCACCCTCGTTTCAAATGCTAGTCGCACGCGTATGACTTCGAGCGGGTAGGTGGCAAACACGCTGACAGTGCCGGCGGCCGCACCGGCAGCCAGGCGCCGCAGCACAGTTTCTTGCTCTGGGGACTTTATCAGATATGCGCGGAACTGCTCGTACGCGACAAACTTGACGGCAGCGTAGGGGAAGATTCGCAGGAGGGTTGCACTGTGGCCACGGAAGAGGCCGGTGTAGCCAGAGGATTTCTGGATAGTGGAGATGGCGCGGAGCACGCCGAAGGGGGTGCTAGTGTACTTCGTGAAAGCAGGGGAGGAGGCTTGGAAGAGGATCTTTACTCGGTCGAGTGGGGCTATTAGGGTTTTGGCCTGTTGTAGTGGAAGTTAGTGGATGGATGGGGGAGTGGAAGGATGGGGATATACAGCGGAACCGGCTATACCGCCGGCTATACCGCTGCGGATAACGTAGTCGAAGCTCTGCTTATTCTCACTGCGGTTGCGGGTGGGTGAGGATGTGCTATGCTGCTGTGGGTGGATAGGAACAGCGGCGTCGGTGCTGGAGGCTCCTCCGGCGGTCCGGAGTGCTGTTGCTTCAGACATTCTTTCTCTTTACTTGTAGTTCTCGTGGTTCTTGCTTTTTCCTCGCTGCTCCCGTGCACAGGCCGAATGGAATAAAATCTGATAGAGAAAGGTAAGAAAAAATGGGGAAAGGGCAAGGGCTTATTTGAACCCGTCGGGGTGACCTCCTTATTGTCGTGGAGAACGGGTATTCGCGGTGTTGGACCGGTCTGTCCGTCTGTCAACCCGATCTTTCCCTCGTGTTCGGCGGGTAACTTATGGCAAATCAGCAGGCGGGCGGGCAGGCGGGCAGTGCCTGAGCTCAGCTATGTTAAAGGGTGTTTCTTTGACACGACAAGTTAGGGGTGGGTAAAAGTCAAAAGGCGAAGAGTGAAGTGAGACAAAAGAATTTCAAATCAACCGGCCCCTCCGTCATAGAAGTAGAACCAAGGTGCTCAACGTATCATAACTGCGAATTTGAGCCTCCTCACACTCACTCATTCACTCACTCGTTCATTCAGAGAAATAGTTTGCAACACCGTACCCACATTCAACACTTGCCTTCTCCGGCGACACAAGCACCCGAGTACAAAGCGACGACTACCGGTACCAGCATGATAATATCAGGGTAGAGGGGATAACTACTTGTACTACTTTTTTTCCCCCTAATAATTTATAATAATGATACAGTATGAGATTGTTTTTAAGTTGGCAGGCTTAAAGAGTCTAATCTGTCCGTCCATTCGTTCCCATAAGGTATAATACCATACCGTTTTGACCTATTTTTTTTCCTTTTTTTTCCTTGAGATATGAAAGAGAAGAAAATAAAAGCACGACCACGCGGCAGAATAAATAGGAAAAAAATAAAATAAAAAAATAGACTACCATACCGCATCGCCATCGCACCTCAGGAGATGAGGATGAGGGTGGAAAGGGAAAGGGTAAATGGTACGGGTATGATGTAAGGAAAATACCTTATAAATCCATCTACAGAAAAAAGAAAAAGAAAAAGAAAAAAAACTCCTGAGTAAGATAATTAGGTAGGGAAGAAATACAGCACTGGAGACTAAACTATGGATAATTATGCCCGAATCTACATGGCATTGCCACCGGGAAAAACACAATGATATGCAGGGAGCAAGAGAGAAGGGGAGGAATTTAGGGTAGCTACCACAAAAGGTATGAAGAGCAGACCGAAGCAATGCTCGGGGGGAGAGAGGTGAAAGATGATACAAAGGAAACTATTCATGGGTAAACTCCGTAACAAGAAAGAAGGACTAGGTTGCGGTTAAGAAAGAAAGAAAAACAAGAAAAAAACAGTGGAGCTGTAATCAGACATCCCTTCCGCCTGCTTTTGACGCCCGCATTCAGCCCAAACCAACTCCATGAATCACGAAGCAAATACCCGAACGTTCATGTCCGCGCTCCCCGTAGCTATCACGCAACGGACATTGATAACCTTTTCTCCCGCCTTTGGAATTCCGTTTGTTTTTGCCTCTCCATTTGTCTGCTCCTTGGCAGGCGCTGGTGCCCATCGAAGACAGGTTGCAAAATGGGAATGGGCTTCATCGACCGTTTTCACACATCGACCGTCCTGTGTCAAGTCCCAGCACCGGATGGTCTTGTCGTCGCTGACCGAGAGAAGGTACTTCCCAGCCGGATGGAAAGCTAACGCCCGGATCCAGTTATCGTGTCCAACAAGCGTTTTCAGGAGCGTGCCCCGCGCGTCCCACAGCTTGATCGTCTTATCGCGAGACCCGGTGGCTATAAATTCTGAAGACGATGTTGCCGGGGGTGGCTTTTTAAGTCCGGCAATTGTCGCCAGGTGTGGATAGGACGATGGCGGTGCGAATACACAGCAATTCACCACATGCTCGTGACCTAGAAATGTGGCTTTGTGTTCGGCGGTGGAGGCATCCCATAGTCGTGTCGTCTGATCAGCTACTCGTCAGCATGTCATTTTGTAATATGTTCATGGCTGTCGCGCATCTAACCTGATCGCCTCCAGCAGATAGTAGCCATCGTCCGTCGTGAGAGGGTTCTACATCCCTAATCCAGTCGGAATGTCCGCTTATTGTCTTGACGCAGTATCCGGTTGCAACTTCCCAAACTCTTAATGTCTTGTCTCTACTCGCCGACACCAGATATTCGCCAGCAGCGCTGGGAATGAACCTGACCGCGCTAACAGAATGATCGTGGCCTGTGAGGGTCCTGATATTCTTATACTCATTATTTGGATCCCATAGCTTGATCGTGAGGTCGCTTGAACAGGACACCAGCAACACCCCCGCCTTGGGTCCCCCAAAGTCAAGGTCTAGAACAGCCTTGGTATGGCCCTTGACTGTTCTCTCCAGCTCTCCAAGCTCCCAATCCCAAATCTTGATGGTCGTATCATCGGAGCCTGAGGCTAGTACCGAGAAAATTGGGTGGAAGGCGACGGAATTGATGGAGTTTCGATGACTAGTGAGGACATGTTTCGCAGGAGCCCGCGGCAGCCAAGATGAAGGATCGACGTTGCGACGGGTGAGCGAGGTAGGGGTTGCTGAATCCAATTCTGATTGTAAGGAGGACAATCGGCTCTCAAGTTCCATTATCTAGACAGCCAAAAATGAATAAACTGCCGGTACGAGGCCAAAGGTGAGTTGATTAGAACAAACCTTTTTCTGCAATCTAAGCACACCTGTCCATTTTTTCTCCAACACGCCTTCGTACTTCTTCATCGTGTTTTGATCTAGAAATTCATCGCCAACACCGAGCTCCTCTCTCAGCGCGGCACCTGTATTCGAGAGCCCAGAAGCGGAAAAGTACGCCAAAATCGCTTTATGGCTGGTTGGTTCGCCGGCCAGTTAGCAAGCTTCCAAAATCGCCATCCATGGGGGAAGTAAGATCAGGGGGAGGGGGAGCGGAAAGCGATAAAGGAGAACATACAGCTCGTCCTTCTGGCGGGGGATAAGATAATTCACTGGAGTGCTCATGACGCAATTCCCCGTGGAGCGGAGAGCATGGGACAACTGGCAAGGAGTAAAAGCGAATGATTCGGTGAACGAGTTTGGGTGAGTAGTTGTTGAGGTTTGGCGATAGAGCCGCTAGCAGGTGTTTACAGTGCAGAGAAGCTGAGGTACGGGGAAGTTGTGGATAGGGATGAGAAGGAGGGATGGGTGGGTAGACTAGATGGACGGATGGAGACAGGGAGCGGGAGGCTCGGCGGGCTGTATACTAGGAATTACCGTATGTGTATGCGGGTTAAGAAGTCGGAATTATGCAGCAGCGAAAAGCTTAGTACAAGTATGAGGGAGAGCCGGTGGCCAGCAAATGAGGTGAGGTGGGGTCCTGTCCCTTCTCGCCTTTCGGGTTTAGAGGAAGGGCCAGAGGGAGACCAGCGAAGAAAGTTCTGCAATATCTTGATGGGTAGAACTATTGGAGGATTTCCTTTCGGGGTGCTAGCGATTTTGTTGATGATGGGTCACAGCTACATCTTACAGGTGCAGCATTTGAGGAGCATGATGAGATACCATGCAGAACGCACGGGGGTGTATATATGAACACGACCAAAGATAATTAGGAGACAATTTCCCAGCACTTTGCCCATCAAGGGTTGAGGAAAAAAACCGAGCCATTTTATCCGGTCCCCTCACCTCCCTTCCGTATACCCCATAACCCCATCTCTCCTAAATTTGTTGCGTTTCCGTAGAGCCCGAGACCGAGATATGATGGCGGGACTCTACCCGAGGTACCGGTACTGCGAGTGACGTGAAAGCTGTCATGGGGCTTCTCCAAACGGACAGTACTCATACCATACCGGTCTTGCACTCGACAGCCTGGTCCGGGTAACCCCGAGGTCTAAATGGTCCCAGTAGCTGCTGCCGCTCCTTGCACTTGGATTGTATGATGCCCTGTAATCTGTCGGTTCCTTCGCCTTATCTACCGTAGTCCTCAAACCTTCGTTCGGCGCCCGCAAGTTGTGAAATAACTTTCTCCCCTTCCACAGCTACAATAATTCACATCCACATCCAAAATGTCACAGCGTATGCATCCCAAGCCTCCGCTACAAGGCCTATGGACCAGCCATTCTAATCGTGGGATCTAGCTGCAAACCAATTTGAGCTCTCTGGCCCCCCAGAAGATGTAATCTCTTCCCTCACCTTTTCCCCGAATAACCCCTCACGTCTCCTTGTCTCCTCCTGGGATAGGAATGTCCATCTTTACGACACAAATGCTGGCCTGAATGGCTCGAAACTGACTGCATTCCCTCATGCAGCGTCGGTACTAGACTGTTGTTTTGGCGAGACGGACAGCAATGTGTTTTCTGCTGGACTAGATTGGCAGGTTCAACAGTGAGGTCCCCTCCTTAATACCAGCGGGCTTATATTTACCGGTGGAAACGATGTGCAGACTCGATCCTGAGACCGGTAGAGGGAACACCCTAGCTACACACGAAAACGCAGTAAAATCCATTTGCTACAATGCGGAAACTAGTGCCTCTCCCTTCTCCCATTTTGAGCTTCACCAACTAATTGCTCGTAGAATCTCTCTTGAGCGGCTCTTGGGATCAGTCAATTAAACAGATCGATCCTAGGTCCCTAGAGTCTACCAGCTCCCACGCCCAACCACATAAAATATTCTCATTGTCGACAATTTCACATATACTAGTTGTTGCCATGTCGTCCCGCTCGGTCTACCTCTACGATCTACGCAATATGTCCTCCCCGTGGCAGCGCCGTGAGAGCTCTCTCAAGTTTATGACCCGCACGGTACGCTGTATGCCCAATGCCCAAGGTTACGCGAGTAGTAGCATCGAAGGAAGAGTAGCTGTAGAGTTCTTTGATCCGAGCGACGAGAGTCAAAAGCGAAAATATGCTTTCAAGTGTCATAGGTCTACAGACGGTGGTGTGGATGTGATATATCCTGTGAATGCGTTGGCATTTCATCCGATGTGAGTTTCTTCTTCTCCTTCCCCCTATTTTTTCATTCTCATTTTCGAGGTTGGTAGAGCTAATTGGATAGTTATGGAACATTCGCATCTGGCGGCGGCGATGGGGTCGTTAGCCTTTGGGACGGAATGGCCAAGCGTCGATTAAGGCAATATCAGAGATATCCTGCCAGTATCGCCGGGCTCTCGTTCAGTAACAACGGAAAACACCTCGCCATTGGGACCAGTAGTGGGTTTGAAGATGGCAAAGATGATGGAGCTTGTCCTCCCGAGTCCGTCAAGATCATCGTTAGAGAGCTCCAGGAGGGGGAAGGGAAGGGGAAGGGTCAGTAGTGGTGGTACGGGTGTTATGGCTAGAGCGGTTTGGTTATTATACTATACTGTATTATAGACCGAACAGAGAGTCTTTGTTCTTCTATCATCCGAAGCCCTGTTCTCCAGGCTAAAGCTGGCATAATACCGCACTCCATTCAAAAGGGGTGGGCGTGTACGGTACTGTACAGTACCTGTAATTTCTGGGATAGCGATAACGGGCCTTGCTGTCACAGTCTGCCCAATAGTCTACCAATATATGACACTGAGAGCAGGTTTGAAGGGAAAAATGACAAATTTTAAAAACGGGTGCTACAAATTTAACTCGACAGGTAACAGTTCAATGAACAGCCTCCAAAATATGACACTCCTATATAAGTATCGTAGTTTCCGCTTCCTGTGTGGTCCTATCCTATGGGTATGATATATACCATCGAAGATAGAGTAGGGTAAGACCCAAACCCAGCATTAATGCCCCGGTCGTACAAATCCTGCCAAAAATCTCACACTACGTCATACCACCCCTCCGCCGGACAACGTTTCCCCTTTGCACTTCCCCTCGCATCTCAACAAATCCTCTAATTTACCGGTATCCCACCCCATCTGTCCATCACCCCTTAGCACTCGAGTTCCCCGTACCCTGCAGCCTTCAGCCTGACTAATCTATGAATAAAATCACCTGACATCCACCCACCAACCCCACCAACTTGGAACGGTGACGAAGGGAAACCCAACCCAAATCCAAACCGCTCAAGGAAGAAATAGGAACCAACCAACCCCAATCCCAAAGGGTGAGAAAAAAAAAAAAAAAAAAAAGCTCAGTAGTCTACCGTGACAACCCCGTCCATCTTCATACCACAGTACACACTACACACTACTCGTACATCCCATTCACCCATCAATCAATCGGTCAATCAATCAACCGACAGACAGACCCCTCCTCCTCCATCGGTAAACATGCAAACCCAGACGATGATAATTATCGGCGCAACAACACTCGTAACGCTGGGTGGTGGTGAGTCCTTTTCCTTTCCTGCCTTGTTCTAGGTGATTGGCGGGGTTGTTATCCCTCTTCCTATCATCATCAGCCCCACCACCGCACTCTAATGAACGTACCGGTATACTGACGTTGTTACTAGTTTGTGAATCCCCCCCCGTTTCCCCCCCCCCATTCCCTCGCTCTTCCGGAGGTTGGGGGAATAGCACAAGGCTAATGTGGAACAGACGCGATCTACTTCGACTACAAACGGCGCAACGACCCGACCTTCCGCAAAGCCCTCCGCCGGTCAGCGAAGAAGCACCTAAAGTCACAAAAAGCACAAGCCGAAGCCGCAAACGCTGAGCAGCGACGTATGTTGATCCACGCCGTGGCCGAAGCTCAGGCGGCGGGTTTCCCGACGGACGTGGAGGACAAGGAGGCTTATTTCATGCGTGAGGTTGCGGAGGGGGAGGGATTGTGTCAGGAAGGTATGAACCCTCGCCCCCAAAGGGGGTTCTGCGCGAGGGAGAAGGAGAGAGGGGAAGCTGATCGCGGAGCGCGAGGGGGGGAGTAGAGGATAGGGCGTTGGATGCCGCTCTTTGCTTTTACAAAGCTTTGAAGGTGTACCCTCAACCGAAGGATTTGATATCGATTTATGATAAGACTGTGCCGAAAGTACCCCACCCCCCCACCCCCCCGTTCTTCTTCCAAGGGTGATGCTAAGAGAAGCAGAACGTACTCGACATCCTGGCCGAAATGATCGCTACAGATGGGAGTATTCCTGTCGGGGGGATGTCCCCCCCTGGTAGCACTACTGGTGTTGAATAGTTACTATATCGCACCATCCTCTCCAATCACCCACCCTCCCCTTTCCCTCCCTCTGTTACACTCCTATACACATCATATATACAGCAGCCGGTGGTCAGCTGGACGTGCAGACGGACAAGCAAGGCTGGAATTGGCGGTGGCGGAAACGCGAGGGAAAAGCGAAAATCTACACCACAAAAAGTAAACTGTATTCTCTGGGTTACATTTTGCGTTCATTCATTCTCATTTTTTTCATTTTTTTCCGTTCACGTTTCGGTTTTCTGTCCCAATAAGGGAGGTTGGTTTATGCTTTCCCCTTCTCTGCTCTTTTATCACTTCTTGTTCGGATTTTTTTTTTTTCCTCCCCCCCTGCTTCGGGGGTGGTGTGGGATGGTTGGGAGCAGGTGATTGTAAATAATGCAGCTACTCGCGAAAATTAGAAAGCCTGTGAAGATCAATCACATGATACAACTGTTATAGTCAAATTTCGATGCTGCAATCGCAGTATCATGTCAGTATTAAAGCAACAGCATCTCATCCCACACGGTTGCCGGTAAGACATATAAAAGATAAAAAGCGAAAGGGTATCCATTAAAACTCCCCTCACCAAACAATAAAATCTCGATAGCAGTCACAAAAAATCACTTGCCTTCCTTCCCACCTACACCCCGCCAACCCCCCTCGGCACGATGCCCAAAACCCCACTAATAGCCAACATGCTCTCCCGATGCTCTTCCCTAGCCCTCTCCAGTTCCCCCTCCTTAATCCCGGTCCAGCGGACCAGCGTTGCGATCTCCCTCCCGAGGCGCTGCGTCTCTTCCTGATTGCGGGAGGTGCTCCATACTTCGTACAGCTACCCCCCCCCCCACTCTAGGTTAGCCACCTATCTTATACCGGTCCGCGGAAAGGGGGGATATATACCCAAGCCCACATCTCATACTCCCTTGTCAATCGTGAGGTTTCGTCCAGGGAGGATTGTAGGGCCGTCGTTAGGCGCGAGGTAAAGGGTGCCCAGTCATGTCGAGGGAGGGGGGCTAGAAGGTTGTCCGTTGAGGAGGGGGTGGTGGTAGTGGCGGTGGAGGAGGAGGCTGGGGGGGGAGATGGGGAGGTGGAGATGGAGATGTGTGGTTGGGGTTGGGGTTGGGGTGGGGGGGTCTGGATTGGGTGGGGGGGAGGGTCGTCGTGAGGGCGTTTTTTGGTGGTGGTTGTTGACATTATTATCGATAAGGGTATTACTGTGGTACCGGTAGTGGTAGTGGTATCATAGTGGTACTACAGCGTGCTCGAGTACCAGTGGTGGTGGTGGTGGTGGTGGTGTGGATGGGGTGGGATGGGATGGGAAAAAGGTACAAGTACGGTTCGGTGGATGGCAACCAGATTTACAGTAAGTCAGGCATGACTTCACATTACTGGATAGCCTGGAATGTAACTTGACTTGTACTACTTGATCAGGCTGGGAGTTCGTAATACGGTATCGTAGTCAGCTGTACTCCCTCGGTCTTTTGGCTAGGATAAGTTACCGATATGTTATCACAGCCTACTATTGCCCATCTCCCAGTACTCGAGTAAGCCATCCCCAACCCTACTACACCACCCTTCCTCCTCTGCCCCTCCTTCCTTCCTTCTTCCCACTTTCATACATAAAAGGCCCACACTCCAACCCTTATTCCTCCACCAACCACAACCACAACTACCCCGACAACAACAAACCCCACCACACACAAAACCACAGGCGCAAATGCAGTGCTCAATCTGCACTCTCGACAAGCCCACAATAACCTGCGTCTCCTGCGCCCGCATCACTCTCTGGAAGCAACGCTACGACCTCCTCCTGCGAACCACCGCGCGTGACGCCCTGTCCGACAAGATACATGAGCACCTTGAGTCGCCGAGCGGACAGACGGCAACCCAGCAGCGCGAATCCGCCCAACTCAAACTGACGCTCCACGAGATCCGCGGCCGAAAGGCCTCTCTCGCCACGGCGCGGGAAGCAGCCGTGGTCCGTGTGGAAGAGCTCCGGCGTGAGAACGAGCGCAGGCGGGCGGTGCTGGAGGGAGCTATGGGACTGCGGGATCAGCTGGAAGCGGAGGTGTCGAGCGTTCAGCGCGAGACGAAACGCCGGATTAGCAGGAGCAAGACGTTGCATGGGAGGATCGCGGAGGCGCGTGGGTACCTTTGTCGTGAGGCGGCGGGATTGTATGGACTTCGACAGAAGCGGCGGAAAAGTGGGAGGGTGGAATACGTTATTGGCGGGGTGGCTATACCGAATTACCTCACAGATCTAAACAGTGCGTCCTTCCCCCCCTTCCTCCTCCAGAGGAAGATGGAAAAAGCTAGCTAGCTAACGAAAGAATATGTATAGCACACCCCCACCAACAAATAGCAACCTCCCTCTCCCACCTATCCCACCTCCTCCTCCTAACAGCACACTACCTCTCCCTAAAACTCCCCAACGAAATACTCCTACCCACACAATCTCACCCCTTCACACAAATCCGCGGAACCCTGAACGCCCGGCACACAGTAACCCGCCCACTCTCGCTCCCAGCACCCCTCTCTACCCTCTCCCGCGACAACCCGGCCTCCCACACGAAGTTCATAGAGGGCATATCCCTCCTCGCTATCAACATAGCATACACCTGCTTCACCCAGGGTCTCGAAATCAACGACGTGGACGCCGTGTGCGCGCCCGGGGCGAATCTCTGGTCCTTGTTGGTGAGTAGGGACACCCCCGTACCCGCTTTCGGCAGGATGAGTCACGGGAGCTGTCTGGGGAACTTGGCGACGGCGGGCAGGATGGCGGGTATGGCAAGGTTTCGGGTCGGGTTCAAGAGTGTTGTGGAGAAGGTCAGGAACACGTTGCAGGGCGAGACGATTGTGGCGGACTGGGATCTTGTGGGGGATGTTCTCGGCGGCGGTAGGAATGCCGCCGCTGGGGGGGGCACCGACAGGGAAGTCGACGGGGAGGATGGAGGCAAAGGTGGCAGGGAGGGAAGAATGCCCGGGTGGACTAGGATCAGAGCTCCCGGTGAGGAGAGGTAGTTTTTATCGTTCACCTTACGGCGTTTATGGAAAAGAGAGAAGAAGAAGAAAAACCCCATTTATATCATACATGCATACATACTACTCGAGTAGATACATATACCCTACAAGTGCTATCCACCTCATATCATACACACACACAACCCAACACCGCTCACTCACTCACCCACCAAAGACCCTCCACAGCATGATTTTTCTACTATCCAGCATAGGACCTAGCACAAGACCACTTTGCCAGCATACCTTGGCCTTTTTGTTGAGTGATTGTGGCGAAAAACGTGTTATTACCGCGATATCCCAAACATGTTATATATCCCCCCCGCCCTACCATCCATTTACCAATAACGTAGAAACCATGAGAAAAAATGGAAGGAAATAATAAGAAAGAATAGAGTTAAGCTATGCCGTGAGATTGATCGACAGACCTGGAGCGGAGAGGGGGAGAGAGAGAGATAGCGCGTTCACGACTACAATGAGCTACGTTTTGGTGGAAAAGAAAGAGGGAAAAAAGAGAAAAGGGAACGGGACATGAAAATTAAAGAGAAAGAGAAAGAGAAAGAGAAAAAAATATTCCAAAGCGGGCGTAACCAATCTAATCCACACCGCCACCCAGCTCATTCTCCCGTCCCTACAAAACAGCTGGTTTCAGAGCTCCCCCCCCCATTCAAAGAAAAGAAGAAAAGAAAGAAAGAAAAAAGGACCCCTCTCCCGCAGTGCACCCATCGTATTATCACAACTAACAAGCACACCCCTCCTTAGCCCTGGCCCCATCCTCCAAACTAACCGCCATTCCCACTCCTCCCTCCCCACCAGCACCACCGCCCGCACCAGCACCGCCCCCTCTCCCACTCCCTCCAAGCCCCCCCGCTCCACCCCTAGGCCTCAGCGTATTCTCAGGAATGGCATTGGCAATAGCCTCGAAAACACTCTGCACATTCTCCCCAGTCTTAGCGGACGTCTCGTAGAATAGCAATCCCTCCTCATCCGCATAAGCCCTCGCTTCCGCCGTGAGCACCGCCCTACTGCTCCCCGCATCCCCACCATCCACATCACCACCATCGCCAGCGGTAGTAGCGGCAAGGTCGAGTTTGTTCCCGACCAGAGCGATGACGATGCCAGGGCTTGCCTGGCGCTGCAGCTCGCTGACCCAATGCTTGGCCTTTGTGAGAGAGGTGGGCTTCGTGATGTCGTAGACCACCAGCGCGGTCTGGGCGTTGCGGTAGTACATTGGTGCGAGGGAGGCGAAGCGTTCCTGTCCCGCTGTGTCCCAGATTTCGAACTTTATGGTGCGGCTTGGAAGGGTACACCTTTGGGTCAGGAAGGCGGCTGCTCGGGTACCGTTCGTTAGCGATGTTTGCCGCGAGAGCGGCCGGGGGAAGGAAGGTAGGAAGGAAGAGGGGAGTAGTCACCGCCAATCGTGGGCTCCTTATTCTCCTGGAAATCATCGTTCACGAAGCGAAGGACTAGTGATGACTTGTAAACTGTTAGAAGAAGAAGAAAAAAACCTAATCGGCCAGATGGCCTGAGATGAACGATAAGCACACACCTTCCCGACTGCAGCCTCTCCCAAAAGCACAAGCTTAACGCTACTGGATAACTTGGGTGCTTCGTCGCGTGATGCCATAAGTTACCCGTAGTTGTTTATCTGTTTCTCGCGTTTTTTTTTCTTTTTCGTTCCCCGTTTTTGATGTTGTTAGTTTGGTTGGTTGGGGAGGATGGATGGATGGAGCTTTGAAGAAGTACCGCAAGTTTACGGAGAGAGAAATAGAATACCATTAGGGTTGCGGTATGATACGACCGTGCGTTGCGTTGCCCATGTACCGCTTGCCTTTGTCGGGTTTGTTAAGAATGACAGATACCGGACATCAGGCATCCACTCTGTGGCGGTTGGTGAGTCTTAGTTGTGGCTTGAGGACAAGTAATACAATACTATTGTTCATTGTGCAAGTACAATAACTGAACACATAATTTCAAGTTACCGGTAGTGCCTCATAGTGAAGTTCCCGTTTGTTTCGTGCCACTACCGCATCTGTTTGTAGTCACAGCGAGGTTCATAAAAATTGTCATACAAGGTTAATAATGAACAGAAAACAACAAAATACCGGTATAGAATCCCCCCAATAGGGATCAGCGGTCCAAGGACTCACCGTATTAATGAAACCAATGACTGAATCTTGAGACGCTAGAACGAACCGCGTCCTTTTTTTTTCTGACAATTCACAACTTTACTCCCTAGTCGGCAGTACCTGTGCTCGAGTATATATTGCCCTCCCTCTCTGCACCATCATGATATTTATCACTCGGTGCTACCAACTCGAGTATGATGATACCTTGTCAAAGATGCCTAGTTACCCGAGTGCATACGGAGTACTGAGTAGTTGGTCCCTGTTATGGGCACGCCCGGGCAAATCGGAGTCACTCACAAAGGGATGACGTCCATGAACACGACTGTTATTGCACACCGCCAGACTCCAGCCTGCGCTATGCAATAGTAGTCGCCTTCACAAACGTCACCCCATCATGACCAGAGCCCAGCTCAACGCCTCCCCTCCTCCCTCCTTTTGCAGCAAGGTATTCAGGCATCCACCCATCAAAAGAACGTGGCCCAGTGTCAAGCCCACCAGGCCCGCAGCAAAACCCTCTCGAAGTCACCATTTGTATCTTACGAGTAGAGCGCAGTATAGAAGCCGCGCAATTCCATCTAAAGCCCCTCTTCTTTTCAAAAACTCCCCGGCGAGACCGGAGTAAGCACTGCCCCTGACCGCATCCGTACAGCACACAACCAACCCTTCTACAAGAAACTTACACCGAGTGTCATCTGATGACGTGTTCCAACGTCGTGGGGGAGAGTGAGGGAGTGGAGTTTCTGGACGGATAGCTATCATATCATACATGCGGAATGAGAAGATTGTCGAAACTAACGGGAGGAGGTTTGAAGCGAGTGAATGAGTTTGGCCCGTTTACGTGTGTTTGTATATCGGTATCATGCATGTAATTTTTTGCTTGAGATGCATTTCGGACTGGCGAACGAGTGATGATCTGTGAATACTCCTTTTCATAGCATGTTGAACTTGAGAGGGCATGATGGATGGAAAAAGCTCCCTGATTATTTTAATATCTCTTTATCCTAGGAAAAGATTTTGTTCGGTTGGAATCATGCACCGGATTCAGTGTATTTCATAAATCTTTGTTATAATACCAAAGTCTAACGCCAGGTCGCTATCGGATATAATTCTATCGTTCATATAAATTTAAGAAACAATTATGATACTTCACCAGGATGGGGGATCTCATTGGTATCCACTGTACTCGAGCACCGGTAGCCCGTATCAAAAAACTGCGCGAAATCGTCAACTTCGCTGCGGACAGGGACCAAACTCATATCTAGATCGGGCGAATCCATAAACCAACTTCTTACGGCCTCTTCCTCTCGCGCCTCATTTGCCCCCTACTGGTAATTGAATATTTATGCCCAGCTAACCCACCTGTCAGTCTTATTGCTCTATGGTGTCTACTCACAGGCAAGGAGTTTGACTTTTCCTTGTAGCCCAAGGAATCAAACCACAGGCTGGCGTGTAGCTCATAGACGCCGTATACAAGCACCGTAGAGTAGATGTAGCACATATCTATTTGTGCCGGCGAATTGATCTCCTCAAAATTGGGATTGACGACTTAGACTCTCAATGAGCCAAAAGCGCCAAGCATATATCCAAGTTCCTCTTGCTCTCTCAGCAGCGTGTGCACTCGTAGAGGTAGCGGTGGTTGCGGCTTTTTTCTGTCCTTTGCATGGCTTAGTAATGTGCGGGGACTTTGTACGGGGTAAACTTATTCTGTGTCATCTAAGGGGTCCCGGAACCAACCGTTACCGAACTGAAACAAAGCTGAGTTGACACTCGGGCACAATTCTCAAAATTGGAATCCTGCCTGAACTATGGGCAGAACTGGTTTGTCCCTCCACGATACATATCCTGGTGTGTTTGTACCTACTACTGTACGAGTACTTCAATCGGGGTTTTTTTTTTTTTTACCAATTCGCCGGTTGTCTGTTAGGGTACTGTAAGTACTTGCTTGGTAGTCTAGAGATCCTCGGGTTGTTATCTTTCAGAACTGGTGTTCCGGGAAGAATACGAGTACTGGTATGTTGGTGTCTGAATCTTTTTGCCGGTGGTTATGGATAACGTTTTGCGGCAGATTCGCGGTACTGTACAGTACACACATTACTCGTCCATCATCCATCCTACAATATTATGATAATAAGACTCCTGACGTCCAATCGGGACTAGCGCTGCCCCATCGATCTACTGTAGGTACCGCATTCGAAGATCAACCGTCGGGCAGCAGGCCATTTTGCCTGGAAAGGGGTGGCATCTTGGCAACAGGGGATCACAAGTACCGGTGCCGTGACAAGTACCGGTACTTGGGCGGAAAACCCCCTTTCCGAGAGTGAGCTCACTTCTGGATTCGCGACCACCCGAGGGAGAGAGGGGGAACCTCGCTCAGTGTTTTTGTGACGGATTGACCGTAATAGAGGTGCTCGTTCGTCGACGCCATATTCTCGGGGGTGAATTTTCATTGCTTGTTCCTTCCTGCCCGAGATTTCGTGGACATATAAACTCATTCCTTCTTCCCTACTTTCTTGGTGACAACAAACGCGACTTAAAGATAGTGATCATGCCTCCTCCAGCTCACGGATATGAATTTGGCGGGCCGTAAGTTTGCTTCTTCCTTGGTTAATTGGTATGTTCTGTTGCTGATGATTCGTAGTTTGGGGGCCTTTGCTATTTCACTTGCTGCACCAGCAGCCACATATGCTCTTTACTTTGTCTGCAATGAAGATGGGTGCCCGAGTAGTTCATTCTTACGAGATCCGGTTGGGAATATTGCTTCGAAATGGCCGGGACTGTCGGGAGCATTCGACTGGGGCGTTACGAAGCACTACTTTCTCTGGTATTTCGCCTTGGCAATTATGTACTTTGTCCTTCCGGGGAAGATAGGGGATGGTGTTGTGTTGAGCAATGGGAGGAGGTTGAAGTACAAGTTTAGCGGTATGTTTGCTTTTCTCGGAGGAGGGGCAGGGTGAAGATTGAATAGGGGACTTATTGTTGCAGGCTCTGCTTCTCTCTTGACTGTTTTTGCGTACTGTGGATTCATGACCTACAAGGAGGGATTCCAGTGGCCATTCTGGGCATACATTTGGGATAACCAGCTCCAGCTCATGACTGCTGCCTTGATATCCTCTATTATTCTTGCATTCTACTGCTACATCTCTTCTTTCTTTACCGGGGAGCTTTTGGCGAACGACACTGGAAATTTTATTTACGATGTGCATCCCCCTTTCACTTCATTCCCATGTTTCAAACTAACAAAAATGTAGTGGTTCCTCGGCCGCCCTCTCAACCCGCGTATCGGCAGTTTTGACATCAAAGTTTTCAGCGAACTCCGACCCGGCATGATCCTCTGGCCAATCCTAAACTTTGCCTTCATGGCCCACCAATACAACACTCATGGCAAAATCACCGATAGCATGATCCTCGTCAATGCTTTCCACTTATGGTACGTCTGTGACGCACTCCACAATGAGCCAGCGGTCCTCACGACAATGGACGTGACCACCGATGGTTTCGGATTCATGCTTTCATTCGGAGACTTGATGTGGCTGCCATTCAACTACTCTCTTCAATCCCGATACCTCGCCATGCACCCTTTCGAACTCGGCCTTCTAGGTGTCGTCGGGGTTCTGGCTGTTCAGGGATTGGGCTACTGGATCTTCAGGAGAGCTAATCGTGAAAAGCACGACTTTAGGACTGATCCTAACGATCCCAAGCTGGCTCATATCAAGTACATCGAGACCAAGAGTGGATCAAGGTTGATGATCACTGGCTGGTGGGGTATCGCTAGACATATCAACTACTTGGGGGACTGGATCATGGCTTGGGCGTGGTGTCTGCCGACAGGATATAGAGGCCCTCTCAGCTACTTCTACGTCGTCTACTTTGCCATTCTGCTCCTTCATCGGGACCGCAGGGACGAGGCTAAGTGCAAGCTCAAGTACGGAGCGGACTGGAAGAGGTATACGGACCTTGTCCCATCAAGGATTGTCCCGGGGATCTATTGAAGGGTTGTGTGTGATTTGTAGTAAGGTAGATAACGGGTTGTAATACACAGACTTTTCTAGCGATTATAATGGCAAAGAGAATATGCCCGTTTGTTGAGTGAGAAGTAGGGGTCTATTCAAGGATCTACAACACCGATTCTACTTGTCCCCTCTCCCACATCCTCATTTCCACCCCCGCCTCTCCCTCCCCTTCTACCTCTTCCACCTTTCCCACCACCACCCCTCCCCATCTTGACATGCCCCTTCCCAACCGGCATCCTCCCCCCCCTGACCTCCTGTGGCAGTTCCTTCACAACGCTGCCCCCCTCCCACAGCACACCCAAGCTCTTACTCACCACCCTCTCAACAAACTCCAACCCAAGCCTCCCCAACTCATCACCGGCAGTAAGCACGACCCCATTTTCACTAATCCAAAACTCGACACCACCCTCCCTCCTTGCCCTCCCCACGTCCACATAGAAGAGCACCTGCGCGTCCGCCCTCATCCCACTCTTCACGCCAATCTCGCCCGTGGCGAGGTGGATGTGGGTGCGCCCCATGCGGGATAGGTACCCGCAGGCTAGTATCGCCTCGTACGCGGGGTAGAATGTGCCGTGAACGGCGCAAGTGATGTTGGGTGGGAGTGGGGTAAGGAGGGTGCTAGTGTTGGTGAGGGGGAGGGAGTGGCCTTGGGTTGCGCGGATAAGGTAGGTATGTGGGTCTTCCGCTGTCGCAGCCGGCTCGGTAGCCGTAGCGGTAGCGGCGGTGGGGGTGAGGGAGAAGCGCTGCTTGTCGTTCTCGGAAACGACTTGGCGGAGCTTTTCGAATGTTAGGCTCATTTTGCGGAATTTTGGGAGTTGGAGCTGGCCGACTGTTAGCGCTAGCACGGGAGGGGGAAGGGATGCGGAGTGGGAGGAACCAATTCGCCGACGTTGGCGTACCCGTCGTCTTGCAGTGCCAGGCCTTCTTTAACCGCGCCGTGGCGGAGGGTGTAGCTTAGTGCTTTGGAGATTGTGCGGATTTCGGAGGCGGGGTTTGGAGGTCGGCTTGCACCGTTGCCGCTGCCGGCGGGGGCGCGGGGGGTGGTTGTTGACATTTGTTTTAGGACGAAAGGGAGCGCTCGGGTTGGTATTGCTATTGAGGCTGCAGCAGCAGCTGGTAATATTGTTGTGGTTGGTATGAGTGCAGATTGGATGGTGGATGCGAAGAAGAGACGAGGTGTGGTGGGCATGCTGGGCTGTAAAATCCTACCGGTAGCCTCCTGGGTGCGTCACACATGGGTTTTGCGCTCCTGTTGAGTCTCCGACGGGCTTTCCTTGGCGCGGAAGTGGTTAGACGGCGCTTACTATGATACGATACGGTAGCATGCTTTTGTAGCGCCATCGCATAAGGCCACCCCTCCCCGCAACCACAACAAATTTCGCTAGCATTATTGTTGCCCCCCGCCCCCTACCTGCTCCTCTGTTTTGTCAAGGCGGCTTGGAACATATCCGGGGGAAATCGAGGTGGCATTTCAGAGGTTAAAAAACGGATTGATGGCCGAGAGCTTGAATCTGGTGAAATGCTCGAGTTGCCAATCTCGTCACTACAAATTCTGTGACGGAGCTATATTTGCGTCGACGCGTTGGATGAATTCCCCAGAGAGCATCGATCGAAGTTTTTCAGATCATTGGTGCGGATTACTCAAGAATCACCCTGCACTCCGCTATTCCTGACAGGTCGGTCACACATTCAGGAGGAGAGAAAGAGGTATTTTATCATGAGCGTGGAGATATCTAATCAGGAGGTTGAGCGATGATGCACAGCCTGAGGCGATGGACCGGGTTTTAAGAGGGGAGATACTGAGGGCCATCCCTGAAAGTATTTCTGGAATGCAACTTTATGTGGGAATATCGTGACATTTCATAGATTTATTCTCAAGCCATCTCCTGACATCTTTCTGGATTTCTGCTACTTTCGTTAAGTGTTAACGCAATCTTAGCACAGTCAACCATTTCCCGGAGGAGAAAAACACTTAGTCTGGTGACTAATGGCATGAGAATGGGTGATGCCTATGCTGCAACCCTCGAGCGGATTCGGGCACAGGATGGGAAAACAACGTTCGCTACCGCCAATCTGTGCCTCCCTGTACAGCATCTTCCGGCATTCTTCCATCCGTACTTATATCCGATCTTCCACTTTGCACGCCCGGTCTCCGACAGTGCGCGGCACTTACTAGTTATGCCTTCCATTACTGTATTGTGGATAGTTGGGATCGCGCCGTAAATTATAGCTGTAAGGCGCGATACCTGAAATCGGTGCCCACACTATAAAATTTGATGCCGGGTAGTGGTGTCTCTTGCCAAGGTGGTTCATGCAGCGGGAGGTGCTGATAAATTGATTTTCCTTATGATAAGCGGATTTTAGACCACCAACCTGTAGGGGTTAGAGGATTGTTAAGCCAAAGAATTAAAGATAAGGCTTTGGTAGCGTGTAAAGGGGATTTTGTGCGGGAGGGCACTGCTGAGGAAGATCTAAGTTGGATCTACGATGTTCGCGTTCGCATCATAGTGCTGCGGCTTAGCTATGTATTCAAAACCTTAAATGGGCTTTCGTTTCCTCCTCCCTCGCAATGTGTAAATCATTCCCCACTCTCACATCTCCATTGGGGTATAGAGTTTTTTACACCACCGTGGTTAACAGCGTCTGGTGATTTTACGGCAAGTTGCCGTACTACGCGGTATCTTATTAAATCTTTACAGTGTTATACAATTACACTGTGGGAACCCATTGGGAGGGTAAAATGGTACGGATGACATTATGTGACCAAAAAGTCTCCCATCTCATCTGGCTTCTTGGCTAGAGGTCCTGCATCCCTGGATGTCAGAGTTTACGAAGCAGGATGGGGGCTGCGTCGTGGTTAGAGTAGCACATCTGGGGGTAGTGATTCCTTTCTACGTGTTGGATGTTCCCATCCAGCATACCACAAGCAGCACCGGAGAGATGTCTACACGCCGTGGCGTGACGCTTAGAAAGGGGCTTTCGTGCTTCGTATTTAGGTGGCCTGTCTATTTCCTGGAACGCTAGGCACTCGTGCCCGCACACTTGTCTCCCTTTTACCAGGAGCTAGAACGCACCTATGATTATAGTCGAGTGATGTTTCGTGACTTCAATCTTTCCGTGTAGTCTTTTGTTTCTTCTGTCGAAGAGAGAATAGAGTAGAACCGACATCCCGGGATCAACTACTGTAGTAACCCCAGCTGAGGAAATGTGCGAGTTATCACAATGCCAACCCGGATCAACATGGCCTGATACCTGTATGACTGTGGCGGCTATGCTCCCAGCTCTGGCTAGATGATGATGTTCGTTCCCTGGGCCCTCTCGCTCTTGGGATGGTACCTTTTCTCCTTCGTGCTTTTGCCATGATTGTAATTTTTGACATTTTCCCTCCCTGTTTTGGCTGTGAACAAACCTCCCCCCTCTGAATAGGCTGGGCTCGGGGGCGAGCAATGGAAGGGGGCATCATCGCAACTCTGCTCATGTACCTTCCTTCTCCTTCCCCATTCGTCGTGGTATTTCTCATTCCCGTATTTCCAACAAAGCTAACCGCACAGGGTCTGCCCGATGGGTCCTGGTTTTATAACTCTTCTTGCACGGGTATTCTCGCCACTAAAGTGAGCTTCAGGGACATCTGCATACCCACACCGGCATATTACTGGCGATTGTCGGGGGATTGATAAACGGCATTGCGTGGAGGTAGCGACGGAAAGGCGACCATGGGGGGGGACAAGTGGGGCGGGAGAGAACCCAAGTGTTGCTGGTGGAGCAAGTCAAGTTTTGCTCGATGATCGGAGGTCCTGCGTCGCTAGCAATCGAAATTTACGAAGCGGAACAAGGTTGCGTCGCAGCTGGGGTAGCGTGGTAATCACTCTCCTCTCGTTTCGTTGGGTATCCTCATCCGGCGTATGATACAACAAGCTGTATCGGGGAGATGGCTTACAGTCACTCGTCGGAAGTGTTCGTGACACATGTTTCACATTCCTAAGCTGCCCTTGTCAAAATCCTCAACTCGCGCAATTGATCGTGATTTTTTCCCTGCACCCTTTAGCAAAAGGCGCCTGTCCAAACCAACTAATCCACGTCTCGTCCTCATTCTTCTTCTTAGTAGTAGGTAATAGGTCTGGGGATGTCAGTAGCGAAAAAATGAACTCCAAAAATATTCAGAAGAGACGTGACAGCAACTGGGGGGGTCTGAAGGTTTCATCTCCTTCTGCCTCCAGAGAATTGCCCTAGTTTCCTGAACTATCGGATAGCCTTGGACAATAGATATAAGAAAAATTTCCTGGTCCGGCCATGTGAGCGACTATCACTTTAAATTTCTCTTCTTTCCGAACACCTGGTCTCCTCTTGGGGCTCTTGATAAATACCGGTAGCGATAGCAGTATAGTGAGCGGGATCGAATCGGAATTGATCATTATGGAGGGTCCATAGGAGAGGTACTGCCATAAACTTCATTTCCTTATTCGGAACCCACTAAGCCAATAGCAGAGATAGGAGCAGATATAAAACGTAAAATCATCCTGATCCTTCCATGGATATTGCTTGTATATCTTTTCCCCCATGCGTGTTCTTATTTCCTAGGCTACTGCTATGGCGGCAAAGGAAAGACAAGCCCGGAAAACCCTTCCTATAAATCACAAGAACCCCAGAACGAATGGAACCACCTACAACCCTCCTGGGATAATTGCTGGTGACCACAACTCACTATGTTCCTTCAACTCTAGGATCTCCTGAGCGATCGGTAACACCGCACAAGTAGATAGCGTAGTTTCCTTTGATTTCTCCGTTGTTCTCGCAGGCTGATCGTTGACAACTCTCAAGCTCGAGACCCCACCATCCGCCCCACTTCCGGGGGCACTATTGCTCAACCACAAGGTCTCGGATCGTGGGCACTTCTGCCGGGTCGCTGTAGCATCTAAATCCCTCTCGTTTCCCCCACCTACTTTTGCTATCCCGTCAGTCCACCATACCCCCCAGCCCAGAAACAATCTCCATTTAGTGTCCACTTCGGTGGTGTAGGTGGTTCTACACCACGTTGCGGGTGGAAAATATTGACTTCCCACCCATTGAACCAAGTATCCGTGGGGGGCTGAGCTGCACACCCCCCTACCAAGACTGCTACTCTGCTTCAGGTCACCTCCAAAAACTCAGCACGTTCTCCCAGAGCCCAAAGGTAATCCCGTCAGCCACAGCCCAATAGAAAGTACAACGGAGATCCCAAATTTGGTATTAGAGGCCCTAGAGCGTGTCGACAAAAATTACAGTGGACCATTCCTACTCCCTAGAATAACATTTGAGACCGGGGGCCAGATAACTTTAGGCTGTTCGAATTGGGAGGACAGTGTCGATTTACCGCTTGTGAAGATACTCCTTCTGTCTTGGAAAACTATGCTGCTTGCTTGTTCATTGGCAAGCGTGATAGACATCTCGCGAAAGTTACGACATATGCATGCGGGGAGGCGGATTTGGACACAGAGGTGGGCGAGGGACTAATCACCCCATCACCCTTGGCTTATCATATATTCAGGCAAGATATCGTATTAATTCAGTGTTCCCAACCGCCTCGGGCGTCCCGGGCAGGGTGGGTAAGGGCTGCAGTGCATGGTGTCCGTCTTTCACAAACGCCGCTATCCTAGGGGCTGACGCCCCGGCCCTAAGGGCTCATGATAATATTGTGATAGAACAAAATTTAATGGCATCTCCCGGCGGGTATCTGTAGGGCCCGGTCATTATCATACCCATAGGGCCTGCCCGGCCGTCCCGGGCAGCTGCCTGAACGGACGGACTTGATGTTTAGGTTCACTGTAGGGAGGTTTCACACGGTCGAGGCAAGGTGGCTTGAGAGGACGGGAGATGTTGTACGAGAGAAGCGAAGGAGCGAAGAAGAGAAAAAAATAGGTGAGAAGAAAAATTACAGAGCTAGAACATTCGGCTAGCACATCCCGGTACGTACGCAATGGTGCGGATATTTCCAACACTCATGTGACTGAAGTCGAGCGATACATCGTGACTTAGTCAGCGAGGTTGTAACCATTTATTTCTTTTGTCAAAGGTAGAATAGAGTAGAATTAGCGCCTAGAGGTGCACCGTTGCAGTAACCCCTAACTAAGGAAATATACAGCTATTTCCAGCACAGGTTAACACAGTCTGACATCGATATGGGCTTTGGTGGCACTTCTAGACTCCGTCTAG